CTGCAGGGAGGTGGGGGGGATGGGTTCTGCTTGCTCGCCTTCCCTCGGTCTCTCCGGAGCTGGGGCCGTGCCGCGTTGCCCGGAGTGCGGGAAGCGCTTAGGTCTCGAAGCATACTGCAAGTCTTCCCAGGGGTGCGTTAGCCCCGGCTCCTTGTTCTTACTAGGTTTTAAGGGGCAGAACCAGAGGTATCGCTTCTGCATACCTCTTGCCCTTGTCAAGCCCACCTGGCCCGGCAAGGGCACAGCTTCAGCGCAGTGCCTGTACCTCACCGTAAACCCGGCTCTGGCTGCCCGTCACGGTGGGGAAAGTGCACACTGATTCTTTTCTGACTTGTTTCCACTCGTCACAAGTTATTGGTGCACGAGTTACTTGGTAAACTTTAAATTTGGAGTCCAATTTAGTAATTTTATTTTAAAACTTCCATTCCCCCTCTGGGTGATGTGGGAGCATGTTCAGACATGTCTGCATGTAAATATAATCCTGCTGTACTTCCTCCTCGGATGGCATGCCCTAGCAGAAAGCCCTCCAAAGTAGCTCACTTGAAGACATAGTTAATTACAGGTTGGATAAAGGGGTGACCCACAAAGCCAAGGAACATAAAACTATTAATACGCATGTAGCTATAAATACATTACATAGCAGCATTGCTGTATCAGTTCTCACCTAGCTTTGTATTGACCTAAACTATAGATTTAGCACAACAGTAGTGTGGTCTCCTATACTGGATACAAACCACTGCAGGTGTTGAGAAGTTGGTGTGCTTCTGGAGCACAATTAGCAGACATATTAAGGTATTCCTGATTTATTTAGCATTATAAACAAGCAACGAGATTTGAAAAGCATTAGGTTTGATTAGAGCAAGGCCCTGATCCTGCATGCCTTACACATCCTGCTAAGTAAGGCCTAAGGCCCTCAGGGTCTAGTTAGGTTTCGAATTCAAGTGGCACTTAAGTTAGGAATAGTTCAGCATGATTTTATTACAAGGGACAGCATTTCAGCATGCACACAATTAATCCTTAGTTACCTAAATATAGTAGGAGACACTGAATTAATCGGAATGAATGCAGGTTCAAGTAATGGAAATAATTTTCACTGCAGCTCCATTTTGGGTCACGATGTTGTGTGCCCTGCCACAGCTTTTGCTGTAACAATTACAGGAATGCAAGGCAGCTCAGAAAGACACTAGCTTCTCTGCAGTCGTGATACTGGTGTTGGTCTGTGTGATTTAGCAGTTGGTAGGGGGGGAGAGCTGTGACAGCTATGAAGAGCCAGGAGCCAAGATCAGACAAGGCCGTTCATGATGAGAGGATGCCTACTCCATCCAACACCACACCTCCAAGGAGCCTCTACTTGTGGCTTTCAGCAGTTACCCAGAGAAGGCTGGCCATGAAGCTGTGACTGACACTCAGCCTCTTCCCAAAACCTGCTGCTGCTTGGGGTTCATCTTGCCCATTGCAGAACCCTCCCCATGGAGCGCTTCCTTAGGACTCCAGGGTCCAGAGAAAAATAGCTGTTTGACCTTGGGCTGGATAACAAGCTGCAAACCTAGTCCTAAATGATATTATCATCTTCATTTATTTATTTAATTGGCACTGCATTACTCTACAGGCATGGCCATTAGGTCTCATTGTACCAGGTGAAGGCCCTGCACGTGGTAAGAAATGCTCCACTCCCTGGTGGAATTGCAGTCTAAGTAAGGCAGGCCAGGGCGGGAGAAAGGAAATAAGTAAGTAGTAACCCTATTAAAGAGATGATGGACTGAGGCACCAAGCAATTACATGTGCTGAGGTCATACAGGAAGCCTGTGTCAGAAATGAGAAATAAAACTAGATCTCCCGAGTGCTAGCCCTTGGCCTTTACTGCAAGATTACCTGCCCTTTTCAGAATTCACTGGCGTATCAGCCTTCATCCCATAAGTCACAGTACCAGTTCTTCATAACTCCACACAGCATGAGTGTGCCCATGATGTTGCGTTTAGCGGCAGAATTAAAACCACAGTATAACTGTTCCTACACATTTGACTTAGCAGGAGCAAACCAGAAAAATGGAAGAACCTTTCTTATTGCTGTTTAGTGGCTAGGCCCACTGAAAGACATACAAAAAATGATCAAAATTGGATCTAAAGCCTGCACGATTTCCAGTCTCTTCCCTTAAGTACTGTAATGCCTCAAGGGTGGGATTTTCAAAAAGGCTTCATTTATGGGAGTTTTATCACTGACTTCAAGAGGAATAAAGTTAGGCCAGCCCTGAGGCCATTTGAAAGCCTCTCTCACTGTACCTACTTAGACTGTATTTTAGAGTAGTGCTGCGTCTTCCTCCACATCATCACCTGTTATCCCGCAATAGTTTGCATTGAGAACATGTATACCCATCACAGTACCTGGTTATACGGATCTGGCGAGATCACAGTTCCAAGTCATCTCTGTGAGTGATCTCAGCCGTACATGGACCATGCAGGACGCATGGGATGTGAGGCCTGTGGCATACTGCTTCAGGGAAATGAAGCAGGCCTGGAACTTCTTGTCATTAAAACATTATAGCAATCTGCTCTAAAGTGTACTGCTGCTTAATAAAACTATGTTATATTGCACTTACATGAAACAATGGCTGCATTGTGCATGTGGACTTCACACAAGCAAGAATATGATGGGTTGTTTTGTAAGCCACCTGCAACCTGGTCTCTGACAAGTCTGTGCCCACTACAATAAGCATGTCTACCCCTCACAGCTACCCCCTGAGAGACCAGCTCCTGCAGTGCATTTTTTGTTTTTCCCACTGTTCCCTAATACGTCTTCTGAACACAGACTGGGCAAAGGGCAGAGTAGGTTTTTGTGGCTGATCAGAGCAACCTGTGTACTGATTAGAAAGAAACACTGTCTATAAGCCAGCCGACTTCATGCTCTGAGACTAACTTTTCTGCCCAATTTGGCTAAAACTAGCTAATGGGTTCCACAGTTATTACAGGGACATTGGCTGACTGGCAGAGACACAGAGCAAGGGTCCAAAGTGTGCCAACGGAGACATGAAGGGTTTGCCAAAGATGACTATGGAGTTCTGACTATAAAATTTTCCTCAAAGTGATGAACAGCTATTTAAAGATCAATTGAAGTTGGACTTCAGCCTGTGAACTGGTTGGCTGACCGCTGTAACAGATGGGAGGGGAAGGAAGCTCAGCAGCAGAAGGAAACAGTGATATTACTACTGTGGAGAGAAGAACTCTTTCCTCAAGTGATCTTGACAATTTGGGGACTGAGCTTTAAGGTGGGAAGCACTCAGTTCTGCACACACCTAAACTTCACCACCCACTGCTGAAGAATTCTTGACCCATTTCTGCGCTGTGTGAAGTACAGTGACCGCAGACATCCATGCTAAAAAACAGCATCACCTTTCTGGAAGAAACAATGTTTACAATGAAACCTACCCCCAGAAATGGTCGAATAAGGAGCTGTGAAGCTGAGAAAGTGGGAAAATTCAACCCTATAGCTTCAGAAATTGTAATTATAGCAGCCTCGTGTCTGCTGAAGCTGCATTGCCACAATGTCACACATCTTGTAGGCCAAGAAAGACTCTCAGCTTCTCATGGATAGAAGCAGGTTTCTAAGTGTTTTGTACACCTAATAACAGACACAAATAGCTGGGCATGGTGGTGTTGCCAGCTCTCTCAGCTTTATTTATGAGTCCTGTGAGGCTGGTGTTTTCCTGAAATCCCTGTTCTTAAAGTCCCATTAAAGGAGCATCTCATTTTAAACCAATAGCCAAGTTCCTGATGTACCATGGATGTGACCCAAATATACTTTCAAGGCCAGGAGGAAAGAAGGAAAAGAAAAAAACCCAACAAGCTAATTGCACGTTTTAAAACCTTTTACAACCTGATTTTTAAGCTGACATTACACTGCTCACAGAGCTTGTGTCATAATTTTTGAGTACTTTGGAGTACATGTGATTATTGAGTTTATATCATTAGGGTGAAATGAGTCAAAATGCTAAAATCCAGCAAGAAACTCCACCTTTTTTGTTCTAACATTCATCTTAAATGATATGAAAGGACTTAATGTTTGCAATAGCAGTTTCTAAAACAGTAGCTGTGAGTCTTATACTGGAGGCTGTGTTTTTATATTGTATTTTTATACCACTTTTTGAGAAATATTGATAAAGAGTTTGCTTATATATATATATATATATATATATAAACTTTTTAATTCAAGGACCTATTTAGCCATCTCCCCTTGCCTCCTTCCCCCTCAGGACACCCCCACGCTCTCCCGCTTGGTTCGGCCAAATGCCGTTCTGCCTCGCCACCGACTCGCTGTGCAACCTGGGCATGTCACTTAACCAGTCCGGGTTACCTCATAGGGGCTTACTTATACCCACTTATCGGTTAATTACTCCATGATTACACTCTAACACCTTCCATTTGCCCACACACAGCGAGGGGCCATCGTGGCCGGACACAGCCGCTTTGCCCAAAGACCCACGGCAGAATTACCTCAGCGGGGCGTTTAAGCGGACATTGGCCGCCCTCCGGGGAGAGCCCGCCCGCCCCGGCCCCGCCCCCCTATACTGGCCCCGCCTCCTGGCGGCCGCCCCGCCCGCGCCAAGCTAGGCTGCGCCGTGCAAACAAGATGATGTCATGCTCTAGAGCCGCGCGTGACCGCCAGGGCCCGCCCTCGCCGCTCATTGGCAGTCGCCCGGCTGTCGTCAGCGCAGCGGCGCTTCCAATTGGCCAGCGCCTCCGCCCCGCCACCGCCCCTTGGAAAATAATAAACAATCGAGTAAAATGCGGCGCGGGAGGGGCTGTGTCGGCGGTGTCCGGGGTCTCGGCCGGGTTCCCCAGTGCCGTCTCGATGTCCTGTGTATGGGTGCTGGCACCCTCCCGTCAGCCCCCGTGACGGCCTTGGGCGGGTTCGGCCGGGACCGCACCCAGGAGGCGGCAGCGGCTCCGGAGGGCCGGGAGGGCTGGCTGGGCCCCGGGCCGGCCTGCTGAGGGACTGGCTGTTGGGGTGAGCAGCAGCCGCTAGGCCCTGGCTGGCGTGAGGCTGGCGGGGAGGCGGCCGCTGATGCATGGTGGGAACGGGCGGCTTCGGTACGGTCCCCGCAAACCTTGCCCGGGCCCCATGCCGCGGATCTGCCCTCTCGTTCAGCAGGGGAAAGCGGCGGGCAGGCTTCGGGTACGGCTGACAGCGGCGCTAGGAGAAAAGGCTTTCCGGAAGGTACTGTGGCACGCGCACTGAACGTTAGCTTCAGCCAGAAGCTACAGCTGCACGGAGGAATGAGCAAAGCCATCCCTTGGTTTCTCTCTTGCCCTTGTCTTGAAGCTTGCCTCTGGAGGAGACTCGCAGCCTTGCCTGAAGCAGTGGAGGCCTGAACATGGGGTCAGGGACAGGGAGTCGGTGCGTTTTGGGTACAACGATCCAGCGAGCCAAGTGCCTAGAGTTGCAGCACTGACAAGACTCAAAAGCTGCACCTCTAAAACTGCATCATTGTTGGTTGGCTTCATGGGGCAAAACATATCCTCAGGGTGGCTGTCCTGTCTACATGGTGCTGTGCAGAGAGATGTAGCTTCAGTCCCTTTTTCGTAGTAGTGGTTCTTATGCATCACAGCCCTAAAATAACCGCCTTTCACAGTCCTGCTTCCCTCTACCTGCAAACATAAGGCACACTCGTGTAACAGGAGCTTTAATCAGGGATAAGGTAAAGAGAGTGCTACAGGAAAGCATTTCCCTTTGCCAAGGCTCAGCCTAGCAGCTCTTTTTGAGAGCAGGTGCCTGCATAGAGCCTATTTCAGTTCTTCCAAGTAATTAATTATTGTCTCCTGTGTGTGGCCCTGGGAGGAAGAAGTCCAAGCACCTCCCTTCTCCTGTCATTCTGTATCTGCAGTGATCAGAGCACTTGCCTAGAAGCTGGAAATACGGCTCCTGGTTCTTTTCCCAGAACTTTGTATTTTGTTCTCTGACAAACATTCGATGTAAAGCACAGTGAGCAAACTGAGAAGGGGACTGAAATCCAAGGTTGTTCCTCTCCCTTCCCTGTGGCAATGTTATTACTGCTAGGTCATGGCCTCTCCTAGATTGCTCCCGTGAATCCTGAATCCCCACCCTCTCCCCCAGGCAGCAGTACGGGTTCAACAGGCTGGTTGAAAATGGGAGTGCATGTTAGGCTAGTCTCCCTCTCAGTGGATATTCTTCAGGCTAGCCTACCTCCTGGCTAAGATACTCTTCAGGAAGGTCAGAAGGAGTCATCTGAACCCCACTGGGCTGAAGGGGGAGAAGTTGACCTTGGGTCTCCTGCTATGGATTCACACAGAGGAGGGAAGAATTTCTCCCCCCTGGGGAGTTGAGAAAGGGTTCAACGGGGTTGGTGAAGTGTTAAGCAAAAGCAGTCAGCGGCTCAGCACATGGTGGGGAAGTCAATGATAAGCATTTGCAGCTGGTTCTCTCCCACCCTGAAGGAACTGAGTGGCTGCTGACTCAGGAGCTGCAGCAAGTCAGAGGAATGGGAAAGGGGCCACATTTCCTGAGTGTTTGAGACATGCCACATCTAGCAATGCTATAGAGATGGGTACCTCATACCTGCTGTTGCATCTTGGAAGAGCAATTGTAGCAGTGTGCCGTAAGGAGCTGGAGCTCACTGGTATGTGTTGGATGTGTTCTGAGCAGGCTGCACACCCTGGAACGTGGGTCTCATTTTGCATGGAGACGTGTCTGAGCTCTGAATTCCAGTGCTGGGCCCAGGGTGAGGAGGGGCATGGAGCTGCCCAACGTGGGGTGGTTCTGGGTATGTGAAAGGCAGAATGTCCTGTATCTTGGGATGGTGGCAATTTAAAAATAGGACTCCAGAGCTTCTGGGATTAGGCATTGGTTGAGCTGGGGCTTTTGGGAGGGCATTTCTTAACTTTAATGCCTCAGTTCTGTTCCTGTCCTGCTTCTGATATTAAAGTCCTTATGTTCCCTGTGGCTTGTGAATGTCACTTAAATGTGTTTGGGGCATGCAATTATAGCTAGCTGCCCTGGAAACTCCTCCTGGAATCTGAAAACTTGAAGTCTTCCATTTGTATGTATCCTTTCCTGCCTTGCAAAAGCATTTTCTTCAGTCTAGCAAAATGCTATGTCAAAGGTGTACATAAGTCATTCACTGCTGTTTTACCTGCAGAAAGCCAATGACGGGGAGAGTGAGGCTTGATGTTATTAAGTTGTTTCTTTGGGGGGTACTGTTTAAGTGAGCACACATAACTGAACACACACTGAGAACTAATCTGCTGACAAGCCTGCATTTTCTAAATACAGTAGCTACTCCTCATAGTAGGCTTGTTAAGCTTAAAATATATCCAAGTAGAGGTACTATAAAGCCCTGTTTTATCAAAACGATTTGTTTTTTTCCTTGGAAGTAAACAGGGAAGACTGTGGAGGAACTGTAGCTGAGATCTGACAGATGTTCAAGTACGTGAAGCTTAAAGAGGAACGTATGCTATTCAGTTTGCTCACAGAGGCTTTGTGACCTGTGTCTTCGCAGTAATGATGACACAAGCTTTTTCGAATAAAAGGAAGAAATTAACTGCCTCTGCTAATTGTACCCTTGCTAGCTAGCTAACCAAGGACACCATTTGACTGTGAAAACTGTTGGTGCCCCCAAATCTCTCAGCTGGCGAGAGTATCTTAAGTGAGAGTGTTCTCATATCTGTGGGTTAGAAGGGCTATTTTAAAATCTTCCTAATTGGAAAATGAAACCCTATTGCTTCAAAACAGTGGTGCACAGCTTTGAAAAATTAAGACCATATGGAATCGTTTATTAGTTTTCAATATGTATTCAATTTCTGGTGCAATTTTATGTACTCGCTAATGCATGAAGTCTTTTGGAGCGGGAATAAAGCACCACAAAGCATGATTTAATGCCATAGGGTCACCAGATCTGTTTCAGATTACTGGATGTTTCAATCTCCTGAAAAGAAGGGGATGTCCCTGCAAAAATGAAACAATGAAACAGTGATGAGGGGTGGGGCGTGAAGCCCTTAAATCTGAAGCACTTTGGAAATAAAGTGCACATATCAACAAAAACTTTTCAAGGAATCAGTGTGGGGATTTGGGCATGTAAGAGATACAGTTGTGAAACAAATTATACTAACAGGAAAGTTAAAGCAAAGTCAGTATTAATAGTACAATACTTGGTTGTGATTTAAGGCATCTTAATGAATCATGTTTTCAAACAGTACAGGCCCACATAGGCATGTGACTGTAAGAGAAAATAAGAGCAAGTAATTGAGGAAAGAACGAAAGTGCTTTTGTTTATAGTTCTTTGGTCAATGGAAGTGCCTATTCTTGTGCTTATTCACAACACCTCTCTCTCTTTCTTACAGAAATCAAATCCAAACATTTTTGTTCTAACTTTGCTAGAGTAGGAGCTTGTGCTTTGGTTCTTTTTGTATGACTTCTGCAAGGTTAAGACTTGCAGTGCCCTTCCTCTGGCAAGTTGCTGAGAGGGGTCCAATGCCTTAGCCACTGGTTTTGGGTTTTTTCTTTTGCTGTGTGATGAGCTGTGGGGCAATCTTTGCTCTTGGGGCCCAGGCATTTTCCTTTCAGTGGTTCAGCAGAGACCAACAAGTAGAGGCTGACTCTGATGAGTTAACCATGCATAGTTAGTGCCACCTGGCAATGAGCTCTGCAGGCATGGGAGGCAATCTTTACACCTTTATCATGAACCTGAGAGCATTATAATCATCTGACTAGTTATAATTTAACAGAAAGATCATTTTTCATCTTGCTGTGGTGCTGTGCTTTCTTTTAAATGTCATCTGTAGAGTCTCCCAGTGAGTGGGAGCTTCAGTTTTGCTTTATATTTCTTACAGATACTAATAGAAACTTTTTCATATGAACATGGTCCTCCAGGTTATTGAAATGAGACAGATTCTTTGAGGCATAAGCGAACTAAAAAGTGTTTGCGGTAACTTTTACACTTCAGATTGTTTTGTCAGTATATGTCATTTATGACCAGTAGATTGTCTGGTTCTTTTATTAAGGTTGAAATCTTACATTTTTAAAAGCGCTATTAACAAGCAATTAATCTTCAGCTTTCCTGTAGCATTGAAGCTTGTTCATCATGTTGTGCCTTCCATCGTTTGTTAAATGTTTGATAATTGATAGTAGTAATTTCAGATAAGTTCAGCTCTTTTATTCAGAACGAGTATGCATGCAGCTTCTGGATCAACACCTTCACATGACCTCACCTGCCTGCTCAAATTATAGCATCAAATAACATACTTAAGGCAAAATGAAGCCAGTTGAATGAATACTCAATGAGGATTAAAACAAATACCATGAGAAGTAATTGCTGTCTTTGATTAGCTTTTATCCAGATTCTATGTCTTAGGTATTGGAAAATCTTAAATAAAATCTTCTTTGAAGTCCCTTAAGCATTACTGAGAGTAATTGTCGTATGTGTGATTGGTAAGACTATTACTTGCCCATAGATGGCAATAGCATTACACTGCTGAAGTAGCCCCCAGCCTAAGAAATAAATGAGGCTGTGTTGGTGGTAAATATTAACTTGGGGAATGGAAAGAAAAAATATCTTGCTTTCTTTTTTTTTTGGTGATGGGGACTGTTCTACTTGCAGGAATGTTGAGACTAATCATGTGAGAAAAGATCCTGGCGTGAGAGGCTGCATGTATCCCATGTCCTGAGATCAGGGTTTGCTCTGTGAAGCTGACCTTTAAAACAGCCTGAAAATGAGGAACGTGGCACCAGAGAGCAGAGCAGGAAGCATGAAATGATGTAAGATTTGTTTCTTCTGCATAGGAATACTTTTTTTTTTTTTTTTAAGCTCCAGGTTTGTGATTCAGCATTTTCTGCCACTGACAGAATAAAAGAAAGGGAAAAATTCAGTGGAAAGAAAGAATGTTCCTATTGTTCTAGCCAAAATCTAATAAAATACTAGACATCAGGTATTTTTGTTCCCTTCTGTGGAGTTGGGGGGACATTATTTTTCTCAAAAATCACTCTTCCCTCAACCTCCTGATCTGAGAACCCTGGAATTGGAGAAAAAATTGGTTCATAGGCTTAGCCTGGATGCCTCCTCTACCTATAACTGTTGTGAAGTGCCACCAGCGTTGTTGGCTTTACATACCTGGGTGAAGCTCCCTGCTGGAAGCTCTGCTGCAATGGAAATCTTCCCTCTTCAGTGTCAATGTGAGCCCTCAGACCACCACTGGGCACAAAAAGGCTGCCCCAGCCTGTTGCCACCTCTCTGATCTGAAACATTGCTGTTCTCTGAGGAAAGAGGTTTCAGAAGGAGAAAGCAAAGGAATCGCTTCATGCTCCTGCTTCCTTGGAGGCTGATTCTGTGTTAAGATTTCTCTCTCTTGGTAAAGGGGGAGCAGTGGTGGGGAGCACTCCAAGGGACTGGAACTTAGCTGGGTCCACAGCAAGACTGCAAAATGGTCCCTGGCACAGTGTTGGCCCAGGCTGCTAGCACTTTCCCAAGCAGTTCCCAGGCATGGATGCAAAAAGCCTAGTTGCAGTTACTCCACTTTGATGGGTAAGAGGGTTTAACAGCCTTGGATACAGTCACTCCGTATCCATTGGCTAGTTCATCCTCATGGATGTGGTCTCCTGTGCCTGAGGTGATCTGTGCCTATATCTGTGTACCATGCACAGGGTCAGCCTTGATTTTCAATGTTGAATCATGTCACAGTGAGCAAGCAGGGAGACAGCTTTGTCATGCTTTCTCTTCACCTGCTGAGATGGCGGCACTGATGAAGGTGACTGGCTGTTTTTCAGTTGCTCCAAATGCCAGCTAGAAGAAGCCAGCTTGCATCTGCCTAGAATTATGCATAGATTTATTTTAAGTCATAAGGGACAAGCAACTGGATACGAGCGTGTACTGTATTTGTGAGGCCAGCACTGGGATGACTTGTGTGTTTTAAATTGATGTTGAAAAATGGGCGGTGGAACATTAGAGCCACACAAAATGATTCAGAGCCTGAAGAAAATGCTTTGCAATGGGAGATGTGAAGCACTCACTCTCTCTAGCTTATCAAAAAAGACTGAGCAGGGAATTGATTACGATGGTGAAGAAACTTCCCTAGGAGAAAAATATCAGGTACTGAAAGGCTCTTTAATCTAGTAAATTATGGGAATGTGTAGCAGCAAGCTAAAACCAGATAAATTCATATGAAAAAAAACCTGGCCAAAAATTTCTTGGAATGAAGGTGATTAATCACTGTAACAAGCTGTCAGGGCAGTTGGCACATTTTCCAGATGTGTCCGAGCCAGGATGAGCATGCTTCTGATGGGTGTGCTCTAACTGCAGTTAAAAGCATGAGTGACACTATAGTCAAGTCTCAGGCAAGGTATGCCGGTGAGGTTTGAAGGGCTGTGATATGCAAGAGGGCTGACTAACAGTTCCCAAAGGAGCTGTGAAGATCTAATGGTTCCCATCTGTCCTTAACCTGTGAGAGACTGAGTAAAACAGCATTTAGCAGAAAGCGGAAGGGAAGAATCAAAATGACAGCCCAGTTGCTGGCACACTAATGTGCCCTGTGTTTTTGCAAGGACTGTATCTCTCTGCTCAGGGCTTTACTGACATATTCTCAACACTCACCAGAAAGCTGATCTTTCTCCAGTCCACAAGCCCTTTGTACTGATCGGCATCAGTGTCTTTTGTCTTAGAAGAGCATGAATAAAAATTCGTGATGCGCAGTGGCTCATGTAGTAGCTTGGCTAAGTAGTTTTCCTTTTTGTTTGTTATTGTTTCATCTTCATGAGCTTTGGACTGGCCTGTTCTCCATGCCTCCTAGTTTCCCTAGTACCCATTTCCTTGTATTGCCTTTGCCACCAGGCTCAGCACATGGTGCTGTGTTGATGATCTGTAATGCAGTAGATTTTGCAGGCTGCTTCTTACTCAGTCTGGCACCATTTGTTCGTCATAACTTGAGAAAAAGAACCCTGCCTTTCTTGCACAGATTTCACACGGGATGGGTATGTCAGTGATGTGCTGTGTACATAAGAGCTTGTCAGGAACTTTTTGATAAGTGCCTTTCAACCAGAAGTAAAAATCTGTAAATGCTGTAGCTATTGAGAGGAATGCAGTAAGATATCTTTGCAAAATACCTGCAATTTGTATGTAGAAAAGTGCTCCAATCTCCTTCTAAAAACAACACTTCTCTCCCAGAAAACCAGTTGGTAGTGGAAATCTAGAATTTCTCTTTTCCTTTTGTCTTTTCTGGGGTCCCACTTCACAGAATCATTAGTGTTGGAAGGGACTTCTGGAGATCATCTAGTCTAGCCACCCTACCAAGACAGGGCCTAAGCAGGTTACACAGGAATGCGTCCAGGTGGGGTTTGAATGTCTCCAGGGAGGGAGACTCCACAGTCTCCCTGGACAGCCTGTTCCAGTGCTCTGCCACCCTCAACATAGAAAGTTCTTCCTCATGTTGAGGTGAATCTACTTGTGGTTTAGTCTATGGCCATTGCTCCTTCTTCTGTTGCTGGGCAGTACTGAAAAAAGTCTGGCACTATGTTCCTGGTACCTGCCTTTGGGATACTTACATGCATTAATGAGATCCCCTCTCAGCCTTCTCTTCTCTAGACTAAACGAGCCCAGCTCCTGCAATCTCTCCTCATAAGAGAGGTGCTCCAGACCCCTGATCATCCTTGTGGCCTTCCACTGGACAGTCTGGTCCTCCCCATATGTTTGGGATGAAACCAAGATTTCATTCTCTCAGACTAAAAGTCAGGTTTTCTGGCTTCTCCTTGTTCCAGAGGGTAGTTTTGTACAAAGTCAGAGCTGAAACAAGGGAAATGATGGGATGGAGTTGTCATCCAGTTGTCATCAAAGCCCACAAGCTGTTAACCTAGTGCATGGATTCTCCAGAGCATGGGAAGTTAGAGGCAGGGCAGGGGTTTGAACTGAGATCTCCAAATAATAAGTGAAAGTCCTAAACTTATTTTTAAGTAAGGGAAAAAAAGACTTAAGAATTTTTTCTCTTTTCGGGGGGGGGAAAGTATGGGGGAAGGTGCCTCTGGAAAGCAGTAGAAGGATTCAGTCATATGCATAGTAATGTGTAATTGAAGGATGGTGGCTTTGCCCAGCTGGCTTAGATCTCACCTCTAAGCCTGTACTCAAAAAGACCTAACTATTCTGAGTGGCATGGGAAGCTCTCCAGGGCCTCGAATGTGAGAAATAATCAATTCTTGTAGAAACATTTCTGCGATGCTGTGGAATCCAGCCAAGAGACATGATGAAAGTGAAAACTGTTTTCTAGGACATCCAGTTTCATTTAATTTTGTCATGCCCATAAAACTTTTCAGCAAACGTCTGTATCTTGCCTTGTGTTGATTGTGTCCTGCATCCTTTTGTGGTTTGGTTACCCTGGCAATCCAGCTAATTTTCCAGAAATGTCAGCTCCATCAGAGTTCATTGACTTGTTACATTAATGGCCTGCTTGCTCCTTCAGTAGACTTCAGCATTCATTGATTGCAAATTGTTTCATGGGCTTGGACCGGTGTGAGAAGAGATCTGCAGAGAGGGTTATGCTCTGGCACACTTGATTGGAGCTGATTTTCTTTCCTCATGTCTTCTTCACTCTGGCTGGACTGATAGTTCTTGTTTCTTGAAACAGTGGGGTAATTTTTCTACATATCACCAGACTTCTGTTCCAGTAAGTTCTCAGCAGGAATGAAGTTTTCCAGTAAAAGTCTCTTGTGTGCCTCCCTTCAGTGTGCTTGTACAATAGTTTGACTTGAAAAACTCTCAACATCGTTTCTGCCTCTAGGCAAGCCACAGAGGGAATAAGCATAACAAGTTTGTCGATATTTTCCACTTGATTTTAGCATTTTTTAGAGCTTGAGGATGAAGAGATACAACCTACAAGGTACTTAAATATGCAACAACTGAGCATTCAAATGCCTGGCTCAGTGAATGCCATGTGGGTTGTTTGCACTCTATATGGGGAAGAGTTTGATGTCCCACAAGAACAAAACCTGGCTGCATGAGTTGCTGCTTGCACCAGCCAGCAGAGGATATGAGCCTGGAAGGGGAAGCCCAAGCAGACAAGAGCTGCTCCCACTGAAAGAAATCCAACAGAATAATTTAAAAACCCCACAAACAACCCATGAAGTTTTAAACAGAGGTTGACCCATGTCTTTCAGTATCTTCTTTGCCTCTTTGCCCATGTTTCTGGAGAGGATACAGCTTGCATGTTCTCCTCTGGATACTGGCAGTGGAGAGGATTGATGCGAGATGAACCACCTGGGAGGAGAAATGGAAAGGCTGTGGTGATGAAGGGGTGTCAGAACACGACTGGGGAGTTTCCTGAAGCTTTTAACCACAGCAAGCCCAAGCAAGGGCCATCTCTTTTTATAAAGCCATAGTCATGGAGTTTCCTTTGAGAAGTCCACCATAAGTGAAATCCTACAAGTGCTTGAGGAGTCCACCATAAGCCAAATCCTACAAGTGCTCTGGATCTCAGAGTGTGAGGGTTTCAGGCTTGTTCAAAAGCCAGGTCTTTCCCATCTTGAAGGGCATTGGCTTGTACTGTTGGGGACGAAATGAGGCTGTATCAACTCCAAAGCTGTTCCAGGTGTTGTGATTTTTTTAAGAACAATGTCATGATTCCAGCAGATGAAGACAACCACACTAAGGAGGTTTCTTCAGAGATACAGAAAGCAATACAGAGAGCTACCATCACAGCTGCCCTTGAAGTTGGAGAACTCACAGCTGCACCTGAAGGTAGGATTTTCTTTTTTTCTCGTAACTTATATGCACAGTAAGTATTCTAGAATTAAATAAAATCCCAGGCATGCATGGCATTACTCACCAGTTCAACTTGCCAGAAATTCCCCACATGTAGCAACAGTAATGGTTCTCCCCTAAGAGCTTCTGCACCCCAGGGTGGAAATGGCCTCCCAACACCATGCCAACGTGGTGCCAACACACGCTAAAAAGGGTAGGCTGGAGGTAGCAATCCAGGTGAGGATGTGCCTGCCTGAAGTCACAAGGTAGCCATGCAGAAGACCTGGGGGATCTTCTGAGGGCCTGCCTGATGCTTCACTCAAAACCACATATGCCTTGTACCCTGAGTCAAGGGATCCTGCATGATGGTGCAGACAGGAGGATTTTGCTTGAGCCATTTCAAGGCAGGATCTGGCTCTGGGGGGAAGTCTGGGATAGGACCAAGCGATGTGATATGTCATATTTATCTCAATATAAGGAAGGCAGGTCCAGTTCCAAGGAAGCCCTCTCTTCCCAAAAATGGTTGTATATTAAAAATATAGATCTTCTGTGTCACAGTGAGGGTCATGTCATCCCAGTCCTGCATAAGCTTCTACTGCCCACCTGCCCCACACCGGTCCTATATATAAGCCTCCCTGCAGCCCCATGCAACCCCTTAGCACCTCTTTTTGATGATAGCCCTGCCTGACATGGTGTCTTGATTTCAGCTGGGATAGAGTTAATTTTCTCCCTAGTAGCTGGTGCAGTGCTGTGCTTTGGATTCAGCCTGAGAACAATGCTGATAACACACCAATGTTTTGGTTGTTGCTAAGTAGCACTTACCTTGATCAAGGACTTTTGAATCTCTCGTGCTCTGCCAGTGAGAAGGGGCACAAGAAGCCAGGAGGAAGCACAGACAGGACACCTGACCCAGACTAACCAAAGGGGTATTCCATACCACAGCATGTCATGCCCAGTATATAAACCGAGTTACTTGGAAGGGAAGGCAGCCTAGGTTAGGCTGGATGGTGAGCAATGGTATTGTATATCACTCGTCTGTCTTGGGGTTTATTCCTCTCTCTTTTTCCTTTTATTATTAAACTTCTTCTCGATTAGTGAACTGTTCCTATCTCAACCTGTGGGGTTTGCCTTTTTCCATCCCACCCAGGCTGGTCAGGGCATGAGCAAGTGGCTGTGTGACCTTTAGTTGCTGGCTGTGCTCAAGCCAGGACAGGTGGAATATGGGATGTCCCTAAAGCATTTGGTGCTACCACACATGCCTTCTGCCTCCAGCCAGCCATGGAGCACACCCCAGCACTGCTGCCACAGGGCCCTGTGCAGCCACTTAACCTTTTATTCCTCACCTGGAACCATGGTCTTCGGAATCTCTGGCTTTTGTTTGAAAGGAATGTCTGCGCAAGCTATCACGGTGTATTTATTTCACTTCGTTCTCAGTCTGACGGCAAGGTGAAAGCCTGGGCATATTTTACCAGTTCTTTTTAGAATGGCGTTTGCAGAAGCAGCAGCCAGTAGCACCTCGGGCTGGGCCGTGTGCCGTGAGGCCGCTCTGCCATCTTGTGGGCCTCGCCGCGCTTGCAAGCCGCCGGACAGCCCTCGCAGCTGGAAGCACAATGCGAAATCCTCATAAAAGATATATATATATATCTATATATATGTGTATGTGCTTTATATATATATATTTACCTCTCTCTCTTTTAATTATGGGTAGAAGGACGCCTGAGGCACCGTCCTGGGGCACACGGTCCATTTCGACTTTGGGGGAGATGACTGACGGCAGAGCAAGTGGGTATGTTTTCGAAGCCCTGGTAGATGTAAGCCTTAGGGGGTCCTGGGCTGTCCAGATGTCTCTTCCCGTTATCTTTAGGGCAGGTTTCCCAGTCAATCTTTGACAGTCTGGAACTTTATAGCCCCGATTTTCTGCTTGCTAATTTCTTACCATCAGAGAGGCCAGACTGTGCACCCTATGGAGAAGACGAGGCTGTGTGTTTCAATTGGAAGTGCTGTTGAACAGCACAGGTAACAAATGCTATCTATGTGCAATGCCCTGCTTGTGGCTATTGAAACCCGATGAAGAGAGAGCATTGCTAGGGCTTCCACACTGGTGAGGGAAAAAGAAATTCTCTCCCTTGTGGCAAGAGGAGAGATCCCAACACACGGTGGAGCTAGATGATGGCATATTGTGTGCCCAAGCACAAAGGTATTCTGATAAAACAGGATTAGGGACTAGCTTTCTTTTCTCAGTCAGCCTCTTAGGCTAATTTACTGCTTATCCTGCCTTAGTCTCGGTTCTGCAATTTGCCTAGATTATGGAATAGTGCTGCCTCAAGCGACTTGGAATACAGCAATGAACAGTTGCCACTGATGGCAAATGCTTTGAAGTTAGGGGAGAGGGGGTCGCAAATCCTGACAGCATGTCTATCCTCTCCCTTCATCAGGAGCATCTCAGCCCCAGTGAAACGGTAAACTCTGTAGCATAACAGGGATTCATGCATCCCCCTTGGATGACCCTGGGAGAGCTGTGGAGTGGAGGCAATGGGAAGATGGGAGCTTGTGTCTTATAAGAAATGGGAAGCTCTGCTGAAACCCACTTTCCCCTGGTTTTAGCCTCTTCGGTCATCTTCCTGTTTAAAGGATAGGAGGTGCTAAAGCCCAGCTCTTCCTTTGTAGGGACCTACATTCCACTCTAGGCAGGTACTCAGATACACTGAAGGATTTTGACCCAAGAGCTGAGGATTTTGCAGCTGATTTCTCACCTGGGACATAGGCAGGTGCATATGGCATTAACACCTCAATAACTTCAGCTCCCAGTGAGCTGGCAAAAGTGTTCTCAGCCCAGAAAGTTTTTCTGTTTTCTTTCCATCTGTAGCAGTTGATGGGAGAAGCAGGTGGTTTACCAATTGGGCGTGCTCACCTTATAAACTTTGTTCCTCTTCCACATCAAGTTATTCATGACACTTGGCCTTTGATTTGTCATCACCTTCTCATTCTGGAAAACTTAAATAAACCCTGGACCCAACAGAGGGGAACCACTGAGCTGCCTGGATGCTGAACTGCAGTGGCAGATGCTTAAACAGGAGGTGGGTGGCAATTGTGCCTTTGAGTTTCGCAGAAAGAGGAGCTGAGGTGGAGGAGTGGGACTGGGGGAGGAGGAAGCAGCACTGTGCGGCCGACCAAGGGCAAGCAAACGGTTGGCAGGCAGGTCCCTGTTTGGTTGAGGGGACACTAGTTCTCCAGCTGAACAGGAAAAGGCAATCTGAAGGACAAGGGCACAGCTTTGTAAATGGTCCAGGGGACCCCTGGAAAGACCGTAAAATGAGAACGATCAATTAACAAGCTGCTGTGGCTTCAGGAAAACCATTATAGACATACTGATGTAATGAGCACATCTGATGCACAGAAGCTGTTTAACCTTCAGCCTTGTGCCTTATAAAGCACCTCTGGAGCACTGAGTAAAGCCGTTAATTATTAGGGTCAACCTTAGCAGACGGAGGTGTCCTCAAGTATGAGTTGCTGTGATACACTCATAATTTCTCCATTATGTCAATAACTAATTTCCTAAATTGCTCAAGAATTGACAGATTGGCATCCATTAACCAGCCCTTAACTCATGGCTGTGGGAGCAGTTAGTTACAAGTCACAAGGACTGCAAAACCCATACATAGTTCCTTGAATACATATATCTGTATGTGTACAGACACATACATACACACCACTGTAACAGCTTGGCGTAAGCCATTAGTAAGCCAAATAACCAATGTATGTAAAAAGCTTAAGTAGACAATGATTGACATTGTCTTGAGCAGATGTTTTAATCCTTGAGCACTGTTTTCAGGTACTCTGGGAGGAGAGGATGAAGTCAGTTTGACTTCTAAAGAGCTGTGTATTGAAAAACCGTAAATGAACAGAATTACAATCAGATCAAAATATCAGTTACATTTACTGCCAAAATGCATTGTTTTTTTAATCTGAAAATTCCAAACAGGAAAACATTTCATGGATTTGGTAAGTGGTGATTTGTTACATTGTTCACCCTCACACTGCAGGACAAATCTCATTGTTCTTATTCATACAGGCCATATAATTTTTTGTACTTAAACGCAAACTTTTTTTCAAGCACAGCCTATGAAGAAGAGGTATATTTGGAAATTGTGATATAGGCAGGTAGGGAGTCCTACTGATTCACAAAGTGGTTTTATTGTTCTATCTCAAAGCCAAGCACAACTGGAAAAGCAACTGGCCTAAGCAGAGCAGTTGTAAAGTGGTGCAGCGCTGAAGGCCATGCTGCCTGAGCTGGTACACTGACTACATGCAGCTTGAGGAGGAGAATAGACATGGCTATGTTACTATGGCACAGCATTACATGTGTCTGAGCTTACCTGACTGAGACTCTTCTGCCTGACAGCCTAGAGTTAAATTAAAGGAGGCCAAGGAGAAAAAGGAGAGAGGAATAGAAGAAATGATGGTGATAAAACCAAAAGATCCTGATGGTCTTTCAGGGGATTGGCTGGAATAATGGCTGCCAGCCTGCTGCCAGAAGGGTGACAAGCATTTCATCAAGGCCAGTGATGAACACAAAAGCCCTCCCCCAGCATAGATGGAAGGACCAGAAGTGGGGGTATGGAAAGGAGGTAAGAGCATCCTCTTAAGGAGAGACATTAGTGGAGTTGCAGATGCACCTGGGTGTGCAGCCAAAACTGGGGACTGATGGGCTGCAAGGGAGATTTCAGGGGCTTGTCTAAGTTGTTTGTGGGAGGCTTAGCCATCTCTTGGTTTGCAGCAGGATTTTGGCTGTACCGCCTGCTGCTCTGACCCAAAGGGACAGTTTCAGCTGTCCACCACAGGCTGCTTGTAGGGGAAGGGGCTGGCAGAAGAGGTGTTCAAAGAGAGCAGTCTCGTTTATGTATATCAGCATGGTGGGGACAACACACACAGCAAAATGGGAGTGCCAGCCCAGTCAGATGGAGGTGGACATGGCAGCAGCCCTCATCTGCTGCGCTTGTGCCCTTGGAGACGGCAGAGCTGGGCTGGGGGAGGAACACTGCTATCCCACCTGGAACCATCTCTGGCTTTGTTCTTTCCCCACAGACATCCTTTATTAGACTGGCTGCTAGCAGCTTTCCCCACAAACCTCATCTTACCCATGTCCTTAGACTGCCACAGCATCACTGCTGCAGCATCCCTGCTGTACCTATGAGAGGGGGCAAGTGCCTGCAGGAGAGACTCTGCAGAGGGAGAGGGAGCCCAGGTGCACCGGAGCCATCTTCCCACCGAAACTGCCCAGGCGGCTGTGACTGAAATTTAATTTGCCTGGTGCATTCAGTGGACATTTTAATCAGCGTTTCCTACAATCTACTTGGCAAAGAGGCTCAACTGGCAGCTGCCTGACTGAATGGGCTTTGCACCCAGTCTAACCTTCTCCATTCGTAATTTCCAGTGCTGGAAAACCTCTCTGTCTCACTCTCAGAAGTTTCTATAGCAATCACGGCCATCCTAGTGAAGCACTGAAAATGGCAGCCTATTCAGATTGTAATTTCACTGGACAGTAATTGCTCCTCTCTCCATTGGCCTCTGAAATGTTACTTTTCAGTAGATAGCAACTGCAACTGAAGGAGACTGGTCCTCTGCCTATGTTTTCAACAAATTTCACTCTCCACCCCAACTAACTTTGTTAGCTGTTTGCAACATGTTTGAACTTTGACTAGCAGGAAGAGATGTTGGGCACATCGTACCTCATCTACAGGAAAGACCTGACATGAGTGATGCTCTTAAGCCTGCAGGAAAAAACACTCACCACCCAACACATCATGTTGTGACCTGAACGTTATCCATCACTGTAGGTAGAAAAAGTTACACAAGTGTGTTTCGCTTTGCTAATTGTAAAATACCGGAGGATACAAAAAAAGCCTTTTTCTTCATGTCAGTGAGCTTACTTTTCTTGGTTCAGTTAACTTCAGCTTAAACAATCACTTGATCTTTTGTTCCATGCTTCGTCTTTCACTGGCTGTGATCGCTCTTAATTATTGTGACACTGAAGAGCCTAGTGCTAAAAATATATAAAGTAACAGAATGAAAAGTTTTGCTCCTTACAAGAAGAGGATGCGGTAGAATTGTACCACAGCTTGTGGAGGAGCTGATCAACCATTTCTTAAACTCTTCTAATAATCTTTCCCTATACTTTTATGGCTATTGTTGCCTGCTGGAAAAATTAGCTTAAAGCTGAGTAAGGGGAATTGTGGATAAGTGTTTGCAATTTGCCTTTGGACTGACACAGTGTGATTGCACTCAAAGAATTTGAAGTCTTTGCACTGGCAGCAGTAATTGAATCTGGGAATACAGGATTCGCATTGGAAAAGAGTGGATTTTTATAACGATTTAAATGAACAATTTCAGCTACAGAGTGGATTAACAGAGCCAACTAAACCCTTCACCCTGACAAAGAACTGGCGGGAGGACTATAGAAACTCATCCAGAATTTTACCAACATGAATGCAGAGTAATAGGTCAGTGAGAAGCATTTCTGTATTTTAGTGGCGCTCTTAGAATTCAATTCAATTTAAAACAAAAGTTGTTTTACAAATATGTGGAGAATGCAGAAGGCTGGAGAGGGAGCAAGTGGCCTGCATCCTCCATCTGCTCCATCCTCCCTCTGCTCTCGCGCAAGGCACTGCTGCTGCAAGTCCTTCTCAGTGGATAGAAAGGCAAATGCAGGCACTGCCCCAACCCAGGGTTCAGAAAACGTCCCCTTTTCTGCAAGGGCACAGATGCACCCCCAGACCTGTATTTCATATGTGCCAGAGCTCTCAAGGCCTGAAGCCAAGCAGCAGGAAACTCCAAGTGCAGGGGGCTTGGGAAGCAGAGACACACACAAACCTACACCAGAAATGAGGGTGCAGAACAACAGGAAATATTAAGGATCCCAAGATGAGTAGCGCTCTTCTCTGTCAAGAGATGGACACATCAGGTTTGCTCATCTCTAGCAGGAAATGGATGAAGGGGATATGAGAGAAACATCCATTGGGCAAACAAAACTGCAAAGGCAGATTAGCTGCATCTGTTCCTGAAGTATTTTGGAAGAGGCAGCAAAGCATGTAAAGGGACGGTTCCTTGAGCAAAATAACTAGACCCCGATGTCTCACTGCAGCAGGATGCTTGAGGGGAAAACTAAAAGATTTAAATTAGCCTGGAGAAGGATGCAGTGTTTATGTGAGTAACAAGGCATGCAACCACTGGTGAGGATATGGCCTCCTGCTCCACAAACCTCTGCAAATCTATAATGACGGGGTATTAAGAAATTTTCTGGATGCTATTCTCAAACATTGGATATTGCACTGCTGCAGGCAAGATACTGGAGCAAGTTGGTCACAGCTCAATACTCAATATGACAATCCCTCTCTGGAAGAAATGGGGAGACTGAATGTTTCCAGTAGAAGGCATAATAATACCCCCAAATTTAACCCCTCCTAGAAAACTTTACACCACTCGTTTCTCAAGCCCAAACTGTAAAACACTCTTGATCCTCTGCCACTGGCATCTGTGGAGAAGTGTCATGCTGCAGCCTTGCTCTGCTATTCACAACACTTAAGAGGTGCTGTATGAGCGCACCTGCACTGGGGGCTGCAGTGACCCTCCCAGCCCATCAGGGCAGGGACTTCCCTGTCTGCCCAAGTGTTAACTAACTGCTTCCCAGGGGCACTTTTACAAGCTGGGTAGAACCTGTAAAAACTAACCGCAGCACTAATTAGCTGTCAGCAAAAGCACATCTTGAACAGTAAGAATCACAAATTAACAGGGAAGAAAAAAAAGCGCACTTTAATTGTGGTTTGCACTTAAGCTGCAGTGCCTCACCCTCAAGTTGCTGGAGAAAAGAGTCAGGTAGAAAAAAGGGTTCCAAACCCCAAAATGAAGGCTGCCAGCAGCAGTAACTGAGGAAGACAAATCTAAACTGCCTCTGGAGGAGGAGCTCTCGCAAGCCCTGGAATACACCTACCGAAGGCTGAGCTACATGTTGGGCAATGGCCTGTGATGCTATGGCTCATCCAGGCAACCAAGTGCCCAGAAACTGGCAGTGCTGCAGATCCAACTTTGTCCCCTGGATACAGAGATAAAAAAACCTAAATATCACCAAGTTATCAACAAAAGGCCTTTCTATTCAGAACACTTACTTATCTAAAAATAGCATGAATGATAAGTGAAATGTTTATAAAATCTGGATTTATTAATTTTTATTACAACATAAATTATTCTCAACAGAAGGATTTAATAGTGTTCAGTCTGTTATATATTAGACTCAAAATAATATATTAAAAAAAAATAATTCTCAGTATACAAGGAGAATCCCAACAGAACTTACAAAGCCACTGTAGTTCACAGTTACAGGAGCTAAGGTTGTAACGAATCATACAGGAAATCTGTTGTTACAAGTAGAATAAAATCTACCTGATTTGGTGAAGGTTTGAATCACAAACCTCAGGTTATTTTTTTTTCTTTCTTTAAAATAGATTCTTTATTTAAAAAAATATCCTCACAGCAAAGAGGCACGTGATGTGTAGTTGACAGCAATAATTCTGTAACCCAAACAAGGAAACTAATCCACTTTGAGTAGCTAAATTATTTTTTGCACTATTTACATACTTTACTGAAGTATTTCCATCCCAGAGCCTCAGCAAGCATCTTAGAATATTAATGGGTGAAGTCTGGCAGTACTCCAGTGTCAGCAAATCAGAAAGTAACATCATTCCCATTCTATCGACAGGGAAACTGAGTCACAGATCCAAGTAACTGCAGAAGGAAACCTCCTGGATCTTGATCCTTTTAAACAGGCCTTGATGGAGAGACTGTTCTTTCTCTTTATTAGATGGCTGGTGACTGAAAAGCACTGTTTGAAACTCGGTCAGGTCTTTTTTTCCCATGTTTAAACTGCTTCAAAATAGGTGACATTATCCAGCTATAGTGTCATTATGGTCACCTTTAATCAAAAAAGGCCATTAATGGTTTTCTTTTTTAGATCAAAAGCAACAACAGCAAGAAGGCATCTCTGATCCCTCCAGAGACCTTTGGAGGGCTGTCTCAATATACCCAAACTACTGCAATTGTTCCCTCAATCTGTGCAAAGGTAAATACTGAAAACTAGTGATTTTGAAAGACAGAACCGCGTTATTTATTTAAAATATAAGTAAGAGCTACTGCACAAGAACGCAAAATGAAAATACAGCTTTAAAGATAAAATGTTTGTATGGATAAAGTAACTATACTCACAGAAGCTGTAATTTAGATTTTCAGGCACTGAGAACATTCCTTTGTCAATCAAATATTTGAAACAAGTTAGCTGAGAGATTCTTAGCCAGCATGTGGCCTTTACAAACCAACATGAAACATTTTGCATGGTCCATAATGACAAGGATTTTGCTTCCTGTGACAGCAAAATATAATACCACATCAATAGGATTACTCAAAGTTACTTTTAAAATTAACTTGGCAATAATGGTTGTTGAATGACTAAAAGGGAAATAAAAACTTGTTGCAGATCCTAAATGACATGAATTTACAAGTTAAGAAAACCTAAAAAGCCAATACTTGATCTTGGGATAGAGGCATCCAGCATAAACCCAGCAATTTTAAGGCCATCAAGGAGTATGCATAGTTCATTCACAGGCATCTCACTCTTTACATTTTGGCAAATACAACATTTTAATGTGGTAATAAAAAGCCACAGACCACTGCTGTCTCGCAGCAGCCAGGAGCAGGCCAGGCAGCAGGGGACAGGACTGCTGGGATCACCCTCTGGACTGCAGGTGATGCAGCACCCTGGGCCAGGACATGCCCAGTACTGTCCATCATGCCCTAGTGATGGACACCAGGCATCACTAGGCCTGTCAGCACAGGGCCAGGCTCATGAGTATAGATTGCCACATATAAATACAGAACCACACACACTTAAGTTATATAAATTAGTTTTATCTGTATTTATATATATGTATATAATAAGTATAGGTGTGTGTATATACACAGACACACATGCATGAATCTCAATAGTCCCTCTGTTGAGAAACCTAATACAAATCTCTGAAAATATACATCAATTATTCATATAGTCATTGCTTATGCAGTATAAGCAATGTATTCTGATTGGGGGTTTCATAAATACACATTAAAATTCTCCATGGTAGTCACCCTTGTGGGAATAACAACACAGTTGCATAACTTGTAAACTATAAATATAGGCTTTAGAAATTCTCTGAAGAACAGGTATAGCCACTGTAAGTCTTCCAGGACACAGAACAGAAAACCAGACTTGAGCACATGGCTCCAAACCATCTGTATTCTCAAAACACATACAAGTGCACACTATCTGTCCAGTCTTCCCTGCTGTCCCAAAATCCCCTTTCAAAAGCTTTCCATAACTGTGATGGAGGGCTACAACTGAAACAATTTAATCAGGCTAAACAAAGGCAGAGAACAATATTTTGGGGAATAGGTACAGTAGAAGAAAAAGGTCATGTTGCAAAGTCCAAGAAAACCCCTCAAATCTGGGGACAGTGTGTTATGTATCTATCTCCTCCCTAACCAATTAGGGCAATCTTTTCAGTCTATCTACATAGTATTTTCCCCTCTTCAGGGGTTCTAAATATGTTATTAAATAAACCTTTTATAAAAATGCACTGTAAGTCAATAAGCATAATACTGTATTTTGTTTCAGTTAAACCCCAAAATCATAGAATCATAGAATAGTTGGGGTTGGAAAAGACCTTAAGATCATCTAATTCCAAAGCCCCTGCCATGGGCAGTGACACCTTCCACTAGACCATGTCACCCAAGACTGCATCCAAACTGTCCTGAACACTGCCATGGATGGACCATTTACTACTTCCTTAGGCAACCCATTCCAGTGCCTCACCATGCTCAGAGTAAAGAACTTCCTCCTTATATCTAACCTGAAATTCCCCTGTTTAAGTTTTAACCCGTTACCCGTTGTCCTATCATTACAGTCCCTGATGGAAAGTCCCTCTCCAGCATCTTTTGTAGGCCCCCTTCAGATACTGGAAGGCTGCTATGAGGTCTCCACGCAGCCTTCTCTTCTCCAGGCTGAACAGCCCCAACTTTCTCAGCCTGTCTTCATACGGGAGGTGCTCCAGTCCCCTGATCATTCTTGTGGCCCTCCTCTGGACTTGTTCCAACAGTTCCATGTCCTTTTTATGTTGAGGACACCAGAACTGTACACAATACCCCAAGTGAGGTCTCACGAGAGCAGACAAGAGGGGCAGGATCACTCTCCCCACATCAGAGCAGGTGTGCTAGAAGCAATATAAGGTTTGGCATAGATGAAGCCTGAAAAAATTCAGGGTACACATATAACACTGGTGTAAAGGCAGCATATTCAGGCGTGCAAGAACTGCAAAATTTAGAGTATTACCTTGCACTTATATGTTACAGTATACACTGTCCAGTCATAGTTTCTTTTCCCAGCAGTGATTACCTTGGTTTTAATTGTGTGCAGTTTCAAGCACCTTCAGTCTCCTCCTCAGGGCTCTCGCATGGCTCAAACCATTAGTTTACAATGAACTAAACTGAGCAACAGGCTGACTACAGGAAACTTAGAGCTTGAAAAGTCAGCAGATGGCTCCACACAGAAAATAAGGGTCAAATAAACCCACAACAGAATATACAACAGAGCGGTTCCAGAATTCTATCAGGGACCTATACAATATCAGGAGTTTCATAAAGACAGCATTTGACTTTTCTCTTGTGCCAACTGCATTGTACGTGACAGAAGCAGCGCATCAACCATTAAGTGTCCTCTTCACGTGACATTCTAAATCTACTGTGAACCCTGTATAGCCCATCAACTTTGTCTCTACAGCAATTCTCCAGAAAAATTATAATCTCATTAAACTTACTGAACATCAACATCGTATTTTACAGAAAATAAAATTAAGGCAAAATTTCACATGTCCACACACTGATGGTACTGAAAAATAATCAAGTCCTCATTTCTTAAGCACAAAAAAAAACTGATGGAAGAAAATATGGTCCAGATGATAAAGTGCAATTATTATTTCAGTTGTGCTAAAAACTTTTCCAATTCTGTAGTTTTACTTCTGGTGATTTTATTCAACTTTTAATTACAACATATTTTTGCTTCTGTCTCCATCTTTCCAGTACTGTTCAGTCTGCATTTCTGTAAGCCGAGAGAGAGTACGCTGAAAGGCAAAGATTTCCTCTTCTCCTGTGAACATGGAGAGTCCTTTGGCGGAATCCTACATTAATACAGAAAACAACACCACAGAACTAACTGTGAGAGACATAGCTGTACCAAAATGCATCCTACCCAACTCCTAAAGCTGAGTGCTTCACAGGCTTTGATGATACAAGACAGTAGCATAGCACCAAAAAACTGAAATTTAAGTCCAAATATTAAAGGAAAACACCTATTTCACCTAGGTAATCTTCTGAAGGAATGTAGCAAAACAGTAACTTGGGTTTAAAACTGCATGATGATGTATTAACCATCTATTTTCACTTTCCTCTTGACTACTTGCATGCTGATTTAGAGAAATCATTTAAAAAATCATTAACAATAACTAGGCTATAGGGAAAAGGAAAACCAGAATTGGTAACATGCAAAATAGTATTGTTTGTGAGGATTTGTGAAGCAGTCCTATGTAGTCTAGGAAGATGTAGAACAGACTTTCATTTCTGTATTTTAAACGTAAACTGAAATCAGTATTTTTACACATGATTGTGCAAATATAATGATTAACTTCAGCAAAATGGTTCTATATATCATGGCATTGACTATGAATCAATAACATGCTATTATGAGAGCAAAAGACACACTGCAGAAAAAGCAGCAAATCACTCGTAAAATATTTACTTGATTCCTCTTCCTAAAATGCTGCTCTAATCATGAGACCAAATCCAATTCTGTTACAAAAGGGAGAAGATATTACTATCACATACATGGCTCAAGTCCAAATCATCCATCAAGACTCTGTTGTTCTCTACCTCACCACTGTCATGTTCTACCAGGAACAAGCTTTGGAGAGGAGCCACTGCAGAACAAATAATACGCACCTGAGAGAAGGAAAAGAGGCAACAATCTCATCACCTGGGCTTTGGAGAAAATGGATAAAAATACATGTTTTATGGAAAGCAAACTTCAAATCACGACCTTGTTTGTTTTCCAGGTATTTTCCTTTTCTCTCATTAGCACTGCTGTTACAGATTCACTTGACTTGGTCATTTGGAATACTAACCTTTCAAGATCCTTTTCTCAATAAGTACTCACGTAACTTTTACACAGAGAACAGAATAAGTATGGTAGTGAATACTCAGAATATCTGCTATACAGGCAATGAGTTCACAATCAACTTTCTACAGTAACAGCTGTAAAGTCTTTGTAACCAATGCTTTCTTTCCCCCATAGTTAAAATTCCCCTCAGTATCTAAGTGCACTGCACACATATTTCCACCTAAAGAATGTTTAAATTCCAAGTTTTCCAGAAGGCTGAGTGGAGCCACTCTTGCTTTCACCCATGCTACTCAAGTGCATATTATTGGTAATAACAATGCATGTTATTTGCTAATAGCAATAATGATGCTGTTTTCCCGTGTGCTGGGAGGAGATACAATTTGCAGTGAGGTAGAGTATCATAGGGGGCTACAATGAAGACAGGCTGGAGTATTGTTACAGGAGGAGATACTTGGTGAGAGTATGCAGACAAAATATTTGCACTGTGGACAAGTCTCCACAAATAGGCTCTCTCAGGTGCTTTTCCCCAACAACTACTTGTGACAGGAGTTTAACACTTGTGGTTTTCCTGTTGAGGAAGTAACAGGAAGCAGCTGTTTGCTTGCAATTCTTAATGACAGCATGTAGGTAGAGCAGACAACCTCGCCCCCCTTATTTCTAACACACTATTATTAGTTTATAAGTATTAGCATATCCTCTTAGAAACTGTCCACTTCCAAATCATAAAGTACAAAGAATCTGGCTGACCTGAATAAGACTACTCATACACTTAGTTCAATACCTTGCTGAAGTGGGGCCTTTCTGATGATCTTGCCAGGACATTCTTCGAGAAAAAAATAATCTCAATTGATATTTCCTGATTGCATAAATATTTAAGTGTGTGCATACATAATCACACATAGGACAGCGTTTCATACCTTGTATTACTTTTAAAAAATCATCTTAAACATGAACTTCTCTTTGTTTTAATGGTGCTGATTTTGCTTCCATGATTGAAACCTCTGTAAATTCACATGAAGTGCTGTATTTATAATTACTATTCCATTAGCAGTTCTGCAACCTCACGTAAAGCCTACAGTGATTGTTTCCTTTAAACTTAATGTAACTATGCTATTAACTCCTTGGTACCATGTTCAGGAAGGCTGATTCCTGACTAACCGCCCATGCAAGTTAAAATCTAAAAAAAATTAAACTTACTCCAGCACAGCTGGCAGCACAATCTTTCATTATTAAAATGATGACATGGTTTCTGTGGATTTCCTGGGTTAGGAAGGAAACAACATCCCTATTCGGGAAAAGCAAATGAGCTCAGGCTTGTATGTATGGTCATGTTCAATACTCAGAGAAATATAAAAAACAACAAACCAAAACCTGCTTATTTCCCTTTACAGTGATGAGAACTTTTTCGTGAATCTGGAATGGTGTTTCTTTGCAGTGCCAGTGCATTCTGCTTATGTTTTCCAAATCATTACTATAGAAAGCCTTACTTCAAACCAATTGGATGTCAGATTTTAGGGTTCCCAGTATTACTCTGCACACATAGGAAAGGCTTGGTTCTCACCTTATGCTCATAAAAGGTATCAATAAGAGTAATGAAGCGACGAGCTTGTGTCCTTTTTGCCATTGTAAGAAGCGGTATGTCACGAACAAAGACTGTGTCAAAGTGTTTTGATATTTCCAAATAGTCACTGGCTCCAAGAGGCTGAAACAAAACCCATAAGAAATGCATGACAATGTCACAACTCCCCAGCTGATGAAATGTGCTGTACCTACAGTGTAATGCGGTTCTAAAGCAGTGCAATACTGCTAAAAACAGTAAATAAAAAATATTTTCTCTAACTGAAATTGCTAGACAAATGTGCTGTAGGCTAAGCATAACTACTTACCTAAAACCCTTCCACAAGAAGTTATTTTGAGCAATTGTTAATGGCTGTCCATAACCAGGTCTTTGGGTTTTATCTAGACGTAAGAACGAAAAACCTGTAGAAATGGTTCTTATGCAAGCGCAGGAGAATGAAGCCCTGCTAGCATTCCAAAACTTCTTCTGAAAATGAATGGGAGTAAGCTAGAGCTTCTCACCAGCTAACCCCCAGGCAGGTATTAAAGCCTCTGTCTCTAAGCCAGTTCTCTCATTTGCAGTCCTACGAACCACCTTGCTTTCCCATTCATAACCACGCAACTTCCCTGGGACATCTATGGAAATGTATTACAAAACCTTTTAAATGTTTTTAGCAGCGTTTCAGAGCAGTATATAATATATCCTCTCCTCAAAGTTACATATACTGTTTATTTTCTCCCACCATTTTATTCCCCAGCCACTGCTATGGACTTCTTAACCAGAAACCAAGAAGACAATCATTTTGAGAGCCAACAACAGCTTCACGCATCACCTCTGAAAAAACACTTATCTGGACAAAAAGTAGCTGAAGTCAAAACGTTTTGATGAGATAAAGCATGAAAATATTCAAGAAAGTGAAAGGAACTGCTGGATGGAAACATCACAGAGCTAGCCCACCATATCTCTCACCATCAAATAGCGATAGGTAGCTGGACAATAATCCCATCAAGTGCAAAAGAAAACAACGGAAGCACTAAAAGCAGCAACACAGCTAGGATGCTGATGGAGATTTTAAGTTTGGTGGTAAGCAAACAGTTTATGTAATTTTTACTCAATATTGTAATTCAATTATGTAATTTTTATTCAATACTTAGGACTGAAGTACTGTTAAGTACAGAAGAGATCACCAGTGTGCTGAGTACCTGAGAGGGGCAGCAGCAGTCATTTAACTGCACACAGGAAAGGAAATAATTTCTCATGTCTCTCCTTAGGTAAGAAATTACAGGTATCACCACTATTCAGGTTAATTCTTTTACCACAGAGAAATCCCAACCACCCTTCTGCCAAAGCCTGTGGAACTATTCTGTGATATGCTTTCTCACCCAAACCATATAAATACACCCTGTTTTCTGGGGAGGTATCAAGTATTAAAAGTTGATTCCTAAAATAAATAAATATCAAAGACTTCAAACTTTAGCAAAACCCACAAACTGAAGCACCTGACCACTGAGCTATACATCTAGGAACTTCGTGGGTAGCTTGGTGGATATCCAAACATCAAAATTAAAAACCTGGGGAGGCAGAGGGAAGAAACAGGTGGAGAATAAAAGGCAAATGCATTTCAAATGGATAAGAAAGGAAGATGGAATACTTCTTTTGCTTTTATGCAGACATAAACCCACGGTCCATAGAGGATTACAGTATGTATCTTTATCATAGCTGAACAATCTACTGCAGCTGTGCAAAAAGCAGGCAATTCAAAAATTCCTCCAATTAGGGACATAAAAGGCAGGTAATTTCAAGCTGTTTAACAAGAATTTCTGTAACACCTACACCATTGCTAAGTGGTAATATTCTGTAAATGTTGTCAGAAACGATCCTTTGGAGACTCCCAAATCTTACGATCAGAAATACCTGAGGCCAGCAACCATGAGTGTTTAAATAGAATAAGTCTGTATCTCCCTACCAAGACTCAAGTCTGGTGACATGCAATGGAAACTCTGAGTCAGCCAGTCTGTTATATACGGCTCAGCTGGCATCAGCTGTAGTTCTTTACATAGAGGAGTTCTCAAACTCTCCTTTTAGAGTTTAGAAAGAAATAACCCTGCAGATGAAGTTTAGACTGATTCATCTGGTTTTCTGAACAACATTCTAAAAATAACAGCGAGATGGTGTGTTTCTGGTACTGTCTCATCTTTTTTCTTCCCCCAATTATCAATCAAAACTCAACTTCAGAACTGTTAACACATTTATGTAACAATTGTCACCATTTCTTTCACATGATGCAATATTTAAAAAAACCAAGAAAACCACAAACCAACATTAACAGGTAAGACTCTTTCTTATGGTCTTACTGTTCCTGCATGTGTACATAAGGTAAAACTGTTGTAGATTTTTGTCATTAACTCTGATGCCATGAGTCAGTATTTTATAGGCACCATACTAATGCAAAACACATTAGCACTAACATAGGCTACCCTCCTGACAAAGCGTTTACTCCACTTCAGCCCGCTTGACTGAGTTCTCACCTTCATTTGTCTTTGTTTCTCTGTCTACTTAATGCATTTTCAGCTATCATCATCTCGCTTCAAGTGCAACGTTTATTATTTGGAGCTCTCTGTGGGCTGTTTCAAGAGTTAGTCGTCTCCTGTGTCTATTATATATTCCATTTAATTAAGTATAAAGCATCCTTCTTCTTTGTTGACTCATCAATGACAAAGTAGCTCACCTTTTAGAGACTGAAGAATAGAGAGCACCTTACATATGTTAGAAAAAGGTATTTCATCTTGAGAGAAAAAATATTTTTGTTGATACTGGAAGATATTCCAGGGCCAGTTCCAATAACATCCTCAAGAGTTCTGATTGACAAGAACTACAATTTAGTGCAGATACTCCAAAACTCCCTAAAACCAAAATACAGTTTAAGACTAGATAATATTTACAACTTAGGCATTAAGCAGTAACAAAAAATTAGACATCTCTTTCTGCTGTTCACAAAGGAGTCACATTCTATCACTAGTAGGGCGGATAAAACAGACTGCAGACTGCCAAGAAATGGACAGGAAAACCCAAGGCATGACCTGTGATGCAGCTGCATGCTTAAGTTCAAATGAAAGAGTTAGAAGCTAGTAGGGCATGGCTAACTTGGTTAAAAAAATGTATAACAGCACAAATCTATTGGAAAGCTCTGTAAGTTACAGGCAAAGCTGAGAAGTTCATTTGAAGTATTATTAATAAACTGAAATTTTAATTAAGAATGCAATTTCTTATCAAGTTTTTACTGAAAGTTTGTGATGGTAGAAGAAAAAAAAAAGGCATGTCATTGTGTAGTTAAAGATTACATTAGATGGCATACTGAGGAAAGGTTCAAGTAACATGCAGTTTTGTTTTGGAGCTTCCTAACTAAGCACTATGAGTTGACCTGCAACTTTAAAATCATTATTTGAACTTGTTTGAACTTGCTTGGTTTTGTCTTTTTTAATAAGAACAGTATCACCATTAACTCTGGTGCAGACTATGACAGTAGCCAACTATGCAATTCAGCTGTATGTGATCATGTAATTACAGTATCACGTAGCAATGATTATTACTTTAGTATCTATACATAAGGAGGGACAAACTCAGATCTAACACAAGCAACAGTCATTCTGGAATTTCCCAACTACATTTTGGTGTTGATAGCACCTTATCTTATGACTATTGCATATTCTTCGCGTAAGTCGTTCCCCAGCTTTAACACCCACATGGATGATCAGTATCCGAGATCTGTTTCGGACCTTTGCTCTTGATTAAGAAGATGCTTGTAACTTCCATCTTCTTTTTTTTTTTTTTTTTAATTCATAAACAATGTTATATTCATGTATGACAGTGTTACCTACTAACGGAAATAGCACTTTTCTGTCCTTGGTCTTTATGTGGGGTGACTGACGTGGATGAGGTAATGACTAGTGTCCCTCAGAGGTGGGTGTTGGGACCAATCCTGTTCAACATCTTTGTCAGTGACATGGACAGTGGGATTGAGTGCACCCTCAGCAAGTCTGCTGCCAACAACAAACTGTGTGGTTCGGTTGATACGCTGGAGGGAAGGAATGCCATCCAGAGGGAACTTGACACGCTTGTGAGGTGGGCTGATGCCAACCTTATGAAGTTTAACCAAGACAAGTGCAAGCTCCTACAGCTGGGTGGGAGCAATCCCAGGCACAGCTACAGGTTGGTCAGAGAAGAGATTCAGAGCAGCCCTGCAGAGAAGGACTTGGGGGTGTTGGTCAATGAGAAACATAACATGAGCTGGGTTCAGTGTGTGCTCGCAGCCCAGAAAGCCAACCATATCCTGGGCTGCATCAAAAGGAGCGTGACCAGCAGGTCGAAGGAAGTGATCCTGCCCCTTTATTCTGCTCTCATGAGACCTCACTTGGAGTACTGTGTACAGTTCTGGTGTCCTCAACATAAAAAGGACATGGAACTGTTGGAACAAGTCCAGAGGAGGGCCACGAGGATGATCAGGGGACTGGAGCACCTCCTGTATGAAGACAGGCTGAGAAAGTTGGGGCTGTTCAGCCTGGAGAAGAGAAGGCTGCGTGGAGACCTCATAGCAGCCTTCGAGTATCTGAAGGGGGCCTACAGGGATGTTGAAGAGGGACTCTTCATCAGGGACTGTAGTGACAAGACAAGGGGTAATGTGTTCAGATTAAAACAGGGGAATTTCAGGTTAGATATAAGGAAGAAGTTCTTCACTGTGAGTACGGTGAGGCACTGGAACAGGTTGCCTAAGGAAGCAGTAAATGCTCCATCCATGGCAGTGTTCAAGGCCAGGCTGAACAGAGCTTAAGTTGCAAAAACTAATCTGCTGGGAATAAAACTAAGATCAAAATCACTTCAGAGCAACTCCACGTATGTTTGCTTACAACTACACCTGAAATCCCATAATCCTAAAGATGACACCAAATAATACAGTGGATACATTTAACAATTTTTAATGAAGGTAATTCCCTCAAAATGATTCAGAATCATTAAAGTGCAAATGCAGCTGAGTTGTGTCATCATGTAGAGGAGACATTCAGTCGAATCAGTAATCACTTGTTGCCTTTGAAAATGGTAGCTTTTTGTTTGTTTGTTTGTTTGTTTGTTTTAAGAAAGCTTAGTTAGGTCTTTCATTTTGAAGTAGAAGCTGTTCAAGTTAGGAACCACATCTTCCTGGTCTGTACTGTATGCGCTTATTGCAATGCACTTCTTTGCTGTGTTAATCTACACATATATTTTGCCAGAAATTACATAAATGCTAAACTTCTATGGGAAAGAAAAATCATCACATTAAGATAGCTTTTTACAACATAGATACTGACTTCTACTGATACCTTTTCCTGAACTTTCATGCATTGCTATATTAAACCTTTTGCATTTAACATGTTCTCTAGTTACCCATCCACAAAATCAGTTTTACAGATACCTTCCTATCATGTTAAGATACTGCAGTCATTGGCACTTGGTAGCTGGATGAAAAGACATATTTAATTACCTACTGAAAGATCATACAGGATCCATGAAACAAAGTTATTCAACTTCTGTAAAGAGAAGGCTAAAATGTGCTTGAGTACACTATGAAGTCAGAATTCCCAGCAGAGGGCAGTAGTTGCTATGCACAAGTGAGAGGAAGACTTCAAAAGCTAGCATTGTGAAGAAGACTATCTGTCTCCTTACTTGGAAGAATACATATAAGGTACACTGTTGCCTAAATTATTTACACCAGCTCAAGATTTAAGCCAAACTGTCACAATTTTTAAAGTTTTTAAGCACAATTTTAAAAGGGAAGTGGACTGGCAGAGGGTGATTTTTCTAAGGCATAAGGCACACTGACCTTTATGCATAACCACAGAGAAATTAATCTATCCTGATGGAGCAGTAACAATTATATTTGCATGGCTGCTAGTTTATGACCTTGGGATTTTAAAACCAAGTTACTACGTACATTTTACTTTAGAACATATTTTCACCTGAACTTTGGATATACATACAACTACTGAGAAAAGGGGTAAGGAAAAAAAAGTTTTATATGAACTTGTTGTAGAGTTCAAGTTATCAGATCTGACCAGCACAAAAGCCTTCTAGAATTTGCCAAGGACAATTTTAAACTGTATTTGCTTGTCAAGAATCAGCACCTTAGAATCCACTATCCTTCATTCACACAACAAATTGATGAAAAAATTAACTAATTATGTTTTGCAGCAATCTAGCTCCACTGCAAATGTATCCCTCATTGTACAGATGGAGAAACTGACAGGAAGAAATTAAAGGCCACAAAGTATGGGGGATGTTATCATCAGCGTTAAAATTCAGCATTCTGCTTGGTGCCTCTCCAAGCGTTCCTGCCTGCATTTGTCCATTTTATGGGACCTCAGAAAAGCTTGTACGGTAACAAACATTCTGATGAAAACCAAGCATAATTCTGGATGATGACACTGCAGAAGGACACTGACAGGGCTCCGTTCTAGTGAGCAGTAACCACTTTCATGCCACAGCAAATGCTACCATGTACCATACTGCTACATAAACCCTAGTACGTCAGATCTGAAAAACTGGTTCTCATTTTGCTCTATAGCAGCTGAAATAGGTCGATATCCTCTCACCCAACATTTTTTAGTTTTCCACATGTTTACATAGCCAGTAAAGCAAAAAAGCTTAAGTGTATGAATTTTATATTAACTAAATCAGATAAAACTTGGCATTTTCCTCAACTGGGAAACTATGATTTAGAAACTGATGCACTCAACAATGTAACAAGATGCCTTCTACCATGTCAACTGCATGTCATATCAGCACTGCGTACAATATAGTCTCTGTATTTCATTTTCATAAAAGTTAATGGAGATCTGGTGGCTACCAATACCTGATGCATAATTTTAGACAGAAATAACTCCTTATATTCCTGCCATGAAAAAAATTGATGCTAGTCCATGAAACAAGAAAGAAAAGACTATAGTACCATAAAGGCACCAACTCTATCTCCCAAGGTCTTCAGGTACTAATTACAAAAGCAGCTATTCTGAAAATGCTACTTAAAGCTCGGAGATGTTTCAAATGGCGTAAAGTTACCAACTGCTGATTTGCTATTTTCCTCTATGGTATATCTATATACTATATTCTATATGTATTGGCTGACACTTCATGAAACCATGTGATACCAAAGTGGAAAACGTTTTACTACTTCCCTTTAAAACAGAATTTCATTTCAATGGAAACATCACCATATCAATACTCCCTTTAACAAGTCTTATGGCCGAGCAGACATGATATTTGCGCCTGACCTTTAGTTTCTCCAATTTCCCTACACTTCATAACTAGCTGCCTTTCATTCTATGTTACTTGATTCTGTCTCGACAGTGACATGGGATATACTTTTACTATCATCTTCAAAAAGTCCTTCTTGTTCTTGTTTGTTACTGCTTACACTTCCCTTTCCAGTTACTTTTGGTCATACTTCCCTTTTGCTTTTGAAAATTACTCTTCCTGAACACTTAAATACATAATTTCAATGTTTAGAAGTATCTTCTGGTTACATTGAATATTAAAATATTATGGAGAAGATTTTCCCTATGCAATAAAAATTCCCAGAAGAATTCATCACTAAGCTCCCATAAGGCTGCTCAAACCAAATGACCTTGTACCGGATGTAGTACATTTTATACTAGAAAATTATCATTTGCAAATTTCAGACTAATTACATTTTACCATTTCCTGCATATCATCTACTGCACAAGCTTCCCATACAGTGGTATTTTTTCACATGCTTTTTATAGCCAAGTGCTCAAGAAGCAATGCACCTCATTCTCCACTTGCAAAAGACCCCTATGAGTACTACCCTCTTGGGTTTGTTAATTGTAAACTGATTGATATGTATTCAAGATCCTCGTACTAATTAACTTTAAGTCAGGTACCAGTGTCTTTAATGTTGCACGCTGTCCTCCACTTTGTTTGGCCACTCTGTCCGTAAGTAGGCTGCAAGCACTGATTCCACATTATCATTAGTTGTCCCTTGAGGTTTCAATAATTATCAATTATATGTCATTTTTCCCCCAGAGAATTTCACATCTATCATGCCTGTCACCAGGACTTATCACTGATAAAAAGCTACCTGCAAATCTTGTCTTCAATTCTGTTGTAAGTTTAATTGGCTCCTACAACACTAAATTGCATTTATTTGCCTAGGACACTTGCTTGGACTGAGAATTAAGCCCCTTCCTGGTTGCTACAGGCAGATTCCCTGCCCCATGTCCCTTCATACAGCTTGTCTTTTCATTGGACTCTGTCCTCAGGTCCTACACAAAGAAGCCTGCAGATTCACTCTAGCCAAATCCAACAAATTCCTCTCCAGTATTTTTTATAGATCTTCCTTTTAATTACATCTTTCTCAGCCTCCGAGTTTCCTTTTTCCTAATAGCTTCACTTATGATACCTGTTAACTTTACCATTTGGCACCACAAGCAGTACTAAATACCTACAGATTTATGTTTTATTCCTCTACAAATAGTTCCCACTACTAGCCAGCTTACTTGCATATATATCAATGACTTTATACTTCCTGTCATGTTGAATGTCACCTGACTTTTTCTGGCTACAAAGCACCAGGGCACTCTTCTTGTGGTATCAGTGGGAATGACTTTCCATTCTGATTGCTAAAATGATACTGCATGTAAAAAATTTTCCATTGAGAAGCTAAAAGATTTAATGAAAAAAATGAGCATGGTTTTGTGGTTTGACAACTAAATTTTTCTTTTGCCTTTTATCAGATTTAAATAGCAATGGGGAGGGCAAATGGAGCAAGAGGCAGGAAAGGTCTTAAATGCAGCTTATACCAATGGGAGTTTTTTACTCTTGCTATGAAGTGCTATAAAAGTTTATATTAATGAAAAAAAAATCAGAAGCAACTCGAGCCATTCATCCAAATTTACTGGACAATTCTGAAGTTCATGACTATACTGCTCTACCAATGAAGTGAGTACAGTGATACCACGTTACCAATACACTGATGTAATATTTATGAATTAAGGGTGGTGAGGTACTGACACAGCTTGACCAGAGAAGCTGTGGCTGCCCCATCCCCCACAGTGTTCAAGGCCAGGCTGGATGGGTCTTTGAGCAACCTGGTCTAGTGGAAGGTGTCCCTGCCCATGGCAGGGGGTTGGAACTGGATGATCTTTAAAGTCCCTTTCAACCCAAACCAGTCTATGACTCTAGAAAAGTACATCAGTGAACCGAAGAGAAAAATAATGGCAAAATAAGTAATTGTATATAACAATTAAAGGTAGGGAGAAATGGAAACATACACAAAGAAAATAAGCAATGACTGAGTGATTTGTTAAAGAAAACCATTTACTGTCTGCCATGTTGCTTTAGGTCTAAGCATGCTGTTATCCTATTAGACTATCATAATGCATATGCAGAAGCTATCTGAATTGAAACATGCCTTCCCAAGTCCTGGGGTAATCAATGTAAGAACAATACTGTGAAATAATATTTGACATTTCATAAGGATTCTCTTTACTTGCTCTAAGTGCAAGCCAAGCATCTCAGCTCCTTATGCCAAGATGAGGGTCTGAAACCCATGTTAATTCTTTAACAGGTCGGAACTTTCAGATCCAAAGTAGTGACCGCTACCATGTGAGATACCGGAGCACTTCTCCTTAGAAGCAATTTGTCATCCCATTTAAGTACATAAGGCATTTACTGGGCTAAAGAATTTTACAAGTGTTTGCTGACAGCACAGTTTCCTGATAAATTAAGAGGCACAATGAAGAGGTTGTCTCAAAACTTTTAGTGAGAAGCAAGCTGTTCTACCAGTGACATACCTCCCTTCTCACAAATGGCTAACTGGCTTTGTCTGAAACTAAAACCCAATGAAGTCTAAAACCTACAGTCCAAAATACAACCAGAGAAATTTCTGTCCAAATAGTTATCAACTACATAGCTACAAGTAAGTGAAAATGTAATGTTATAACCAAAAGGCTGGTCAGCATCCTGAATCAAAGGTGCTACCGGCCTAATTTAGGGTTGTGATCATTATACAGTAACTTCAGGTATCAGCAGAGAGGTCACTGAAGTAAAATGCAATTTCTGGGGGACTGTCTTCAAACCCACTGGAGGTCAATATGCAAAGAGAGCTTTTCAGGAATCACATCCCACACATTTAGCAGAGGATTTGGCAGGACTTAGCAAGATTTGGCAAATTTGAGAAGGCCTAGGACTAAACAGCTCTTGTACAGCTACTCACAACTAAGGCATGCAAAAGCTTTACTCTAGTGGTGCCAGGATAACTACTCCTTTGCTTGAGTATCAACTTGATCCCCAGACTTTAAAAACAGTGTCTGAATGCTATTTACATACTGATAGGTTTTAACTACTAATATTCCAGCAGTGATGCTAGCCCAGGCATATACTGTATTAGGATTTTTGAAAACAGTCTCTGATATACTTAAAAGTGAATTTACTGTATCATTAAAAATTATTGTTCTTTGGGGGAATTGTTCCCCCCCACCCTGTTAAATTTATAATCCTTGTGCCAAATTTAAAAAAGCCCATTTTGTTTAGTACACCTTGGGAAAACAGCAAGTTTGTGTGGTTTTTTTTTTAACTGTGAAAAGTCTGAGCATTTACTGATCTGGATTTGACTGGGTACTCACTCTGTCGCACAGCTCTTCAAACGTGAAGTCTGCAATGGTTCCACATGCTTTATTCAGCCTCAGCTCTCTGCCTTGCACTTTTAGAATCCTTGGTCTAGTTACTATGGGAACATGAACAAAGACTCAATCTTCTCTGGATAATTACTATAAAATTCATCTCTTACAGATAGGAAATGCATAGCTTCATGAATAATAGCACATGATTCAACACATAAATTAGACAAAATGCTGATACAATGACTGCCACTTGAGTGTGGCATCAACCCATATACAGCAATGGAACTTATTAATTGGTCAGTGGAGATTGGGCATTGTGTTCTAAATGTATTCTCTTTCAAGAGAAATTAACTTACGTACAATCATTTTGTTTCTGAGCCAGCTCATCAAACAACTTATCCATGACAGCCTCCACATCAGCTTCACTTGTGCTACAGTGAAAAGAATAATAGAATATGAAATTAATAACACTTGAAGCCAACATCAAACAGCTGCCTGAGCCTGCTTAGCTTTTTGCCCATAAAAAAAAAAGCACAGGATGTTATGCTCTAAATACAAACATTAGATTTAGAATACACTTAAAAGTAGAGAATATTAACTCTCAGGTAGATGATTCTGCCTTATTTGCATACACTGAAAGACTTCTGTGTTTTGAGCTGTTTCCAGTAATGAGGCAATACAGGCAGAGCAGATCCATTAACACTATGTGTACACAATGAGAAAAAAGGCTTCTGGTTCTATCTTACATGCAAAATAAGAGCAAATAGACAAGGCAAGGCAGTCAAGCACCTAAAGAAGTGTCCTTTGAAATTTCTGAGAGGGGGCTTTGTGAAATTAAATATTGGAGCAGCTTTTTTTTTCTTTTTTTTTTGGGGGGGGGGAGAATCAAGTCAACTGATTGTATCGACCAAACCATTTGCAAACTTAAAACTATGAAATTCAGAAGACCAGCATGATCTCTGCATCACTAAATTTATCAGTTTCCACTCTCTGTCTCCAATACTATTAGAAAAAAATCAGTCCCAGATGGTGAAAACACAAAATACCTGTGCTGACAGCTCAGCTAAAAAGTTTATATTCATCTTCTGCTTGCCATAAAAATTAGAAATCAGTCTGATCAGGGAGTATCTTTCCTCACTGAATGGGTTAGAGGGCCGATCTTTCTGCAGTATCTATCATTTGTAATGATAATGATGTCTATCATTTTTAACAGATAGATAGACAGATATATGTATGCATGCTGTGGCAGACAATAAACTAGAAGTAGGATGTATAATGCTTCAGTGAAGTTTGTATAATTGCCAAGAAAGTTTGTTTTGAAAACAGGCACCAGAGACTAAGATCAAGGAAGTTGCTTTCATCAGGAATCTTGTGTTACTTTCAGATGAGTATGAAACAGCTTACAGCAAACCACAGCCACGTATTTTAAATGAAAGACTACATAAACTGTAAAAGCATCAAGAGGATTTAAAAAAACCCACAAAACCAATGATGATACTGTAACCATTAACAGGAGAATGTAAACACGTTGGACAAGAACACTTTCTTTTGGGGGCAAGACTGCTAACTAGATTTCAGTAATCTGTGGCAAAATACTGTATAGAATGTAATTTTAAAACAGAAAAATCCCCACATACTAAGCTAGTTGTGCAGGGTTGAAAGCTCCAGTTAACAAGTTTGAATAGAAGAATAAGATTCCACAGAAAAAGAAAGGCTGATGAAATAAGGAATTTTAAATACTTTTTTTCCACTCCTTAATGATTTACAGAAATTATAGAGATAACCTACTATCATGAGAGAACACAAGGTAGACTTATCACAGATCTCTGCTGTTCACTTGATCACAAGTTTTACAGTAGAAGACCATGAAATAATCTGCCTGGGTACTAAGCCTGTGACTTCTTCACATTTCTTCTCCTCAGAGAGCTGATGCCATAGGCACCATGTTTAGTGTACTACCTGTCAGAAACCACATACGTGCTCTTCATTTCTTTAAAGTATGGACAGTGAGAAAAGAATATGGTAGGGGCTCTCCACAATTACCAAACAGCGAGTCACACAAGTGCAAGGGGCAAAATAAGCAGAGCCGTAAGCAGAGACAGCTATGTAGACGTCAGAACAAGAGTCACGCTGAGCAATGCTGAGATAAGTGGCAGCTTCGAATAGTGCTTCTGAGCAGACACCACAAAACTTAAAGAAACTGAAGCAAGGCAAGTATACAGAACAAGAGTTACTTTTCTTGCATTCATACAGTCACACACAGAATCTGCACTGGACCCATTTTTCATGCATAAGATTCCATCACTTCCTTCCAGAAGCAGAAAGAGTTACCTGTTGTAATTCTGCTAAGCACTACTCCTCCTTCCAGTCAAACTCAATTTCTAATTTTATTATAAAGTGATATGGACGTACTTCATTTCAAATACCTGTCACATTGATGAAAATACCACACCTTTCTTAACGGAAACACGATTTTTAAATCAATCTTGTGTGTTGGGTTGAAAGATACAATGGTTATAAATCTCATTTTAAGCTACTGTTGTCTGCCTGCCTCAGGTTATCATTGATTAAATAATACTTTAAGAGCAAATACAAGACAGAAAAATGTCTGCAATGCAAAGGACTCAAAGTATTTGACAAGTAGAAGAAATGAAGTTTCTACTAGGCAGATACATGCTGCAACCAGAAGCACAACTGTGAATGTACTTTTAAATTTATTTATTTGCAAATATAGAACAAACTGCTAAAGAAATTTTGTCATGATGAACAGAAACAATCTGTCAAAATAGGAGAGTGTCAGTGTTTTTTAATCCACTGGAAACACCCAATATTAAATGAATCCTTGTCACTGGATTTCTATAAATACTTAATTACTTAAATACAATAAGGATGTTCTTCTATTATAGGAGAATTGTGCAATCTCTTACAAGAGGATATTCATTACTTTCTAACCATCTGTCACTTCAGTTCTCCAAACACCACACCTCCCCAAAAAAATCTAATTAGTTTTTATTCAGTCAGACATTATAAATGATGCTAGTGTGGATACTGAAAACATAGTTTAATGAAGTTAATATCGAGGCATAATGGAAGGCCGTTTGCTGAACAAAAATGGACCAGAAGGCAAAAGAAGGAAAAGTCACACCCTGCTAATTCTACTGTTTTTCATTTCCTATTGACTAGGAAATTATTGGCTAATAAGAAGGAAAAAGAAGGTGAATACCATATTGCAGATAAACTTACAGGTAGTAAAGTTTTCCAGCAGCAGGAAGCACTCGTTTCCTGTAGTCTATTCCAGAATCAAGCTGCACTGTGCTGCAGTACTTCTACAGAGACAAAAAAAAGAAAAAAGAATAGCTTTCCTCAAGCCAAAACCGTATTTACTATTGTTTATGTTAGAGAGAAGACACAGTTCTGTGATAAACCATCAGCATGAATATCATCTGCAAAACTGATTCAAGATCACAAAACTGAAGTCTCCTTTCCAATTATCAAAGCAAAGAAATAAGGTGGAAATCATTCATATATCCAAAACAAAAAAGTAGCCAGTTTCAAAAGCCCATCCACTAGAAAATTAATACAGTTTGGAAGCATGTGGAATGAAATGAGAATGGGTATTACTCGTTCTCTCTAGGTAGTGCTTTGCTGAGAGAGTGTGTAAAAATAATTATTTCCACATTAAAAATACACATTAAGAAACAGAAAATTAAAAGTTTAAGAGACCACAATCCAATTCTAGCAACAGAGACAACTGAAACTACTTCTGTTTTATAAGCTAAAACTAATTTCATTTTATCTTTCTACTAAGATTAAGAAATTTTATGAGTCAAATATATGAACCATGCCAAGTCTTGCTGCAAAATGGACCAAAACACACAGGGGGATAAACAAAGCTCTATATCAAAAAGGTTTTGTTTCATTTTTGTATGTCTGAGTTGACTCAGAATAAGTTGCTTCCCGAAATCCTGCCCCCTTTAAGCAACCTGTAAGATTCCAAGTGTGATACAAATGATCCTGAGTAGTCACAATAATTGCTTCTGTTAGAAAACTCAAAATCAGCTGTACTAAAGGATGCTTTTTGGGGTCAAGGCCTGAGGCTGAGAGCAAAACTCTCACTAATTGCAGTGGGATCAAGATTTTACACCCTCTGGCAAAGGGAATAGCTCTGCTTATCTCTTCTTGATACTGCCATCATACACAACTTGTGGGTGTTACACAGCCAGAAGCAAAAGATACTATAAAAGAAAGGGAGGAAAAGTTTTAATATTTTATAAAAGATACCTCTATCAACAATTTAATTAAAACAATAAGACTTTGGGGTTTTTTTAGGTAATTCAATACCATTAAAATGCTTTGGATTGCTAGAACCACTAAATTACTCTGCTTCTTCACTATGAACTATTAGTTTATCTTTAATGCTCTCGTTAAGTATTTCATATTCTGTCAAATTTTTCAAAGCCTCCTTGAGGGCATTCAAGTAACAAAATTGGAAATGTCAAACCTCATTTATAGCAACTACGTTGCAGGGAAAAAAAACCCTTAAATTTTAGGAGAACTACCATCAGTGATTTAAGGAACAATAGCCCTATTGAAGAAATGCGTTGCATAGGACTCAGAGAGTACAAATATCTGCAGGAGTGACTGTGATGACTCACTGCACTGTTTTTTTCCCTTGGCTGTTATTGAAGACTCGGTACCTATTTTCAACCTCCAACTTCCCTGAAAAGATACACAGCTGAAGAAGGAAAGGGGGGGGGAAAGAAGTCATCTGAAAGCACAGAATCCCAGGAAAATCCATGTATCTCTAATTCCCGTAAGTGTAAAAGCCATACTAATCAAATCATTACCTTGGGCTAAGGCTACTGCAAACACAACAGTATTGGTGCTACAATATTATTATAATCTATTCCCTTTCTTTCCGTGAAAGCTTACAAAGAAAGAGAATAACAGAGCAGAAGAAAAAAGTTCCAGAGGCATCTAATAATATGCACAAGGGAGGGAGGATGTTTAAGCTTTTCTTCAGCATCAGTCTGGCAGTCAAGGCTACAAGGAAGATTCCCGAAATTTCACAGCAGCGTTGGTGTACTTTGCTTTTCTCTGCCTGGCATCAGTGCTCAGCACCTTTCCATCCACCTAATGTTTTAGTATCCCAAAGTAAGGGATAATAAATCCCGCAGGCTGCGGGATTATTTAGATACTGAGATACTGTTTATAATTTTGGTTGTTTTGTTTTTCTCTTGGAAACAACAGGTAGGAAATTTTGCATTAATTCAGCCTCATCTTCTCTGGCCTTCAAGATGGGTTTATAAGCACTGCTGTTCTCTCATGCTGTTGCATATAGTGTGAAGAGTGGAAACAGAGCTATAGATACTTAAGAGTGGGGCATGGTCACGGTAGGGCTGAGATTAAAAATAAGTGCACCTGAGCACTGTAGCCAGTGGAAGTCTATTGTGCTGATATTTACAGTGGTGCTTGAGGCTCAGCTGATAATGACTGCTGAGTTGAGCAGACACACACAGACTAATGCTCTGCTATATTATGCAGGTCACTGCGGCTTGCTGAAATATAAATCAGCGCTTTGTGATACAGTATTCTAGTGTATTTGTGTTCTGCTTACGAACTCATCACTCCTTAAATGCACTGACAGTCTTTACAACTCCATGATTTAACATTACAGCAAACGAGTTTTGGAGGTAAGGACTACAGGAGTAAATACTACCACAACAGCTATGAAGTAGTTGCGTTTCTTCTGCCTTCCTTCCCTTTTCTATTTCTTCAAAGTAATTAGTATTATTGCTATTAAAAAAAAATTGCTATCACTAATGGACACTAATGAAGAAGAGTTTGTGTGCTCCAAAGCATATGTTTTGGGGCCCTTTTAAAGTTACAAACAGCTGCCTAAATTAATGATATTTCTTTTTCCTATAAACCTTGTCTTCTAGGCCTCCAATAATGCACCACTATTGATTCTAATGTGATACCACATTACACAGTTTTTCTTTAAAATACGTTAGATATTCTGGGCCGTGAGACTTTTCAGCAAGAGAGGCAGTAGCAGCATCCTGCTCAGATGTATATAAAATGCAGTTATTACAGTCCTACTGAGTTCTTGCTTCCTTAGGAGGCAAAAGTCAACTGAACCAAACATAAACAAAATGGAAAGCTACGATTCTGATATACAGCAGTTTTCTGTGACACACAACATATGCATAGAAGTAAAGGCCAGTTAACAAGAATAGAAAGATACTTAGGCCTTTGGAAAACATTTGGCATTTTACTATCCTGCTCCTTGGATGTTTCAATTTCTGAGTTTAGTTTGGGTCAAGGAGGGGGGGCTTTTTTTGGCTTAATTCTGTCCTACCTTTCAAATACAGCCATCTCATTTTTTTCAAACCAGCACACTCCATCAAATTCTGGCTGGTATCTACTTCGAATCTCTAGCACATTTTTCATCCATTACTGTCTCAAGAACCTCTGACTTGGACCTCAGAGCATTGTGTAAATATATATAAAATGGACGGCCCTGCCATTAAAACAAAACCTTATAATCTGCATAGCAACAAGCTCCCAGAAAACGTTCCTTCAAAACACGATTGCTGTTTTCAGATTATAAGCTTTGTAGGGCAGCAACATCCTTCTCCTTATGTGAATATATGATAGAGTACACATCTATAGGTGCTACTGGAAAACAGTGGAACAAAAAAATAAAAAAATCAAACAGAAGTGTGAGTAAAGAAACCAATCATTCAATGATAATGTGGAAATAATGCCAACAAACCAGCATGCAAACATGCACTGTGGTGGGCAATGCTATTTACGCAAACTGAGCCCTACACAGCGCAGAACAGAAAGGGTGTGATAGGAGTACCAGTGAACTGAAGGGCAGTAATGGGAGGACTGCTTGCACTGGCGGGCAGTAACAGCCATTAAGAATGTACTGGTGGAGACTGTTCTAAAGGGGGATTCAGCACATGGTCACCTTTACTCAAAGCCAGAGTCAGAAAGGTCACAAAGAAATTATGTGCTAAGCAGAGATCCAAAAGCTTTTCCTTTTGGGGTTTCCTTTGTCGACAAGGGTATCCACCACAGTTCTTTGTTTCTACACACAGAAACATTCACTTACCCACTTCACAGGAATGCAGAGGGCAAAACGTTCACATTTGTAAATATTTTTTTCAAGATAAATTATTTAAATATTAAAAAGACATCATATAATCAGAATGTCTAATAGAAGAAAATAAAGCACACCAAAATCTTTTACTCTTCAATTTTTTTCAGCATGGGGAAAAGCCCTACTAAGATTACACGTAGGAATTCTAGTTCTCTCTCCATCTGTGGACTAACTTCTCCAGTACTGAACTGATTAAACCCTACAGATGTGATTGCATCCTCACACTAATCACCACCACGGAATCCTAATCAACAGCCAAAGAACTAACTGGAGTGCTCAGATTGTTAGTACTTAATTGTCAAAGCCATGACTGTAACTATCGGTTTCTGTTTCTTAAGATGGAATTTTAAACTTTCAAATTTCATTTACTTGGGCTATACTTCTCCTTTCCTTTTGAAATAAATACTTGAAATTGAAGCTCCAGTTAGTTGAGTCTGTTCTGTGGAATCATTTACAGTTTCCAACAGATTTTCTATTCTATTGAGATATTTCAAGTCTGACTTAGCCTATTGAATTCAAATGCATAAAATTAATTAGTCATACAATTTATTTTGAAGTCATTTATGTATTTATGTATACAAAGAACAAATACAATTACAGAATTGAAAACGCAATTAGTAAGTTAAAAATACAGCATGATCATACACTCATTTCCACTGAAGTGGCATCAAAACTTTTTATTCCAGAAGGAAAAAAAGACAAAGTCTCAAGGCTCAGCTCCACAGAGAGCACCTAAACCAACCTTCAGATAGAACAGATAAAATTAAACTGTCAGTATACCTACAGTAGAAAGTTATTAAATACAGACCAGTATACATTTTTTGTTCCTGTAAGCCCCTTTAATATTCCTTTGTTGCTGCAATCAAGAATGGTAGCTATTCAAATGTTTAGCTGCTCAAGAAATCAGAGACGACAGGATAAATCATCAAGTAGAGGAAGAGAGGTTCAAGGAAATTTCAAAAGGCAGTCAAGGTTAACTGGATAACCTGCAATTTCTCAAGATGTGTGTTTCCCATGTGTCACAAAAACCCCTGAAACGCTAATATATGGCCTTGCAGTCCACATTAAACACTGTGCTAAATACCATGTTTCCCTGTAAGCTCAAATATTGTGATCAACTCATGACCCTTGATAATGCAGGTGAGTAGATATTTC